CTACTACTACTACTACTACTACTACCGCCATTACCACCAAGCCGTCATTCGATGAATGGGTCAAAGTGTTGGGCCAAGTCTTACTGGCTGACGCGCAGCAAACTATTCAGTCCTTGGCTGATGCAACTCGTTTCGTCTCGAATTTCCAAGGCCGCGAGACGATGGAACTGGAACCGGTGGGCAGAGCCTCGGTGGAGGAGTGCGCGATGGTGCACGATGGTGCACGCACATGTGCACCAGCGCGTGATCGACTGGAATTCGGGTGAGCTCAAATCGTTTTGTTTTGAACAGGGTTACAATCAGTCCCATCATGTGGAAACCACTAGGATTTCCTTTTGTAGTTGTAGTGCTTGGATTGTTTCAGCAGTCTTTGCTTGACCGGGTGGTGTTCATGTTCGTAATTTAAACTGGATTTAGAAATCCAAAGAGTACATCAGGGTACGACCCTATGTGTCAATCAGTGAGATTTCACAGCGGACGTTTGATATAGGAAACCCACCAAGACAATCCGTTGAGTTGTAATGATCAGATAGAGTATATAGCATTAGCTACAATAAACCAATGTTTGGCCAGGCAGACATGTGTTGTTTTTTTGTTTGGCTTATTGTTCTAGTTCCCCCCAAATAGCACAAAAGACACGAAAATTCGTTTTCACCCTCTTCTCGTCCCATGTCCAATGTCCCAAGCTCCTCAAAACACAGCGTGACGTCCACGTGTGTTCCTCTTCATCACTCCACGCCTGGGCCGAGAAACGTGGACTGGAAGCTCCATGCGGAGTGACGAGGCCGGACGGAGCAATTCGCGTTCCGAACGCGAAGAACGGAACCACAATTTATCGATCCAGGGGAGGCAAGACGGTCGCTTCTTGGGGATCCATCGAAAAGGTATGAAAAACGTGTTCCCAAAGAGAAAGTCTGTTAAAAGTTGAATGTTGCTATAACATATGAAAAAGTGTGCCCTGCACTTGAATTTAAGCTAGGGTGCCCCCCCTCCTTAAAGAAAGACTTTCCCACAACATGTTGCCCTTTTGGGGGAATGCCATTCAGTTTATGCACTCTCTCCCTCTCTCTCTCTCTCTCTCGCTATTTTGTTTTGCACCGTTGAGTTGGCAATAGTTGTTGATTGGGCGTGACGCTTTCATCACGCTTTGTTTCACTGACGCAAGTTGTTTGCTGCTGATGAGGCCAGTACGCCTTCCCACCCTGTGGGCAGCCCAGAGATGATTCTGAAGCTGCAGGCGGTGCAGAACCCGGCTCACGTAGCAACCTAGAAGCCCAATTAGCTCGGGCAGCACGAGAGTCTGGCTTCAGCTTGTTGCGACTGCTTCCTAGGGGTTGATTTTGCTTTGGATGATTGCATGGAGCGGTGAGTCACTGGCTACCAAGCAATGAGCGGATGAGAATGGATTCGCCTGGGTCCGTGTTGTGAACCCAGAAAAGTATCAAAAAAACAATTTATGGAGGCCTTGATGAAAAAAGATCCCACCCAGCAGGCTTTAAGTCCCCCTGCCGAAGCACAGTTAACTTGGGAAAGACCAGGAGTTCTGCCCCAAGCCAACGGTAGGTTGGGGAAATGGTTGGGGATTATGTGACTGGTTGCTATCAGAAAACTTAATTAATCTCTAATCACTAGTCCAAACCATGCGATTTTGGCCGGTTCTCCCACTTTCGGCGTGCAAATCAACTGGGGAGAGAAGACCCAAATGGAGTGCCCGTGGTGTTCCAGGTGAGGTTCATTCTTTTTTGCGCCGTCGCCAGGAGCAGTTGAGACTGCAAAGCTCAAAGTTCCAGCCGCTTCGCAGCGCAGCGCTTCGCAGTTCTTGGCAGCTGGCAACACAGGGAACCACAATCAAGAATGAACATCTATAGCTTTTAGAGTAGCTAGCAGCTATGACTCATTATGACAATGCATGACATAGAGTTTTGGGATGAGTAATCGACTAAAAGATACTTAACGCAAGAAAGACGTTCCTTGAGTTCTTTGGGGTTTTGGGGGATGTCTTGCCAAAATCCAACTTCACCTTTCTAATAGATGTGGTCCCCACCATCAGCTGGCGCGTGAAGCGATGCAGAGGGTTGGTGCGTGAAGGGATGCAGAGGGTTGGTGCGTGAAGCGATGCAGAGGGAACCATATAGAGAACCCAAGCTAAGCGGTGAAGTCCACTTGCTGGGTTCTATCAATACCCTGGGAGTCAAAGACTATAAAAAAGAATTGTTTGACTAGGTGACCAGAGTTCGCGCATTTCCACCACAAAACAGTCGGTCAAAATATCCTCGAACTGGACTTCTAGGGTAGTTTCTACGTTGCTTTCAAAGGGTTGAACCAGGTTCTCTCGGCAAGATCGCATGTTTCCTTCCACTGGTAGATCTGGTAGGGCAGCGAAAAAAGAAAACGCGGCGAAAGGAGCGACTGAACGTTCCGAGGTCCGAAAATGAAGAGCGAAAGGAGCTGGAACTCAGACTGCAACAGCATGAGGAGAACTCTGGGGTCGCATTTCAATGGGCGGGCAAAGGAGAACTCCTTTGTGCCGACTTGGTTTTGAACTACTGTATACTTCCACCAAAGCAGTACGTAGACAAATACACCCAAGAAAAAACAGCTGGGCAGGAACCCTCCTATTCACAAGTTCACCAACAAGTGCTGTGTCTTTGCCATACAAAGCTGCTTCGAAAACAATTGAGCCTTTTCAACGTGCAATGCGAGCATCACAACAACGCAGTAAGTCGGCAGAGCGCATGCGCCCACATATGTGCAAGCTGACAACGCCGCAACAAGCAAGAATCAAGAACCTGCCCCCAAAGCTGCTCAGCACGTCAGGAGGACAGCATGACCCACCGTCTGCATCTCAGCGTCAGAACATTCGGCATGTTATCCTGAACCCGTGTCAGCATGCCAGCGCGACAACATGTCAGCACGACAGCCCGACAACATATTTCACGCGACACCATGCCAGCATCTCAGCGTGACAACATGTGGATGCGCGTCAGCACAGCACGTCATTCGGAATGATGAGATGTGACATGTCAGATCATGTCAGACAGTGTTAGCCATGACAACGTCAGCGCAAAAAAAACATGTCAGCACGTCTGGCGCGTCTTGCTGCTTTAGCAGCTTGATCGAACCACCTGCCTCCAGAACCGGCACCGGAACCTGCTCCGGAAGCTGAGAACGAAGTCTTTACTATGGCCGAAGACCCCTAAGCACATCACACATGGAATGACATGGAGAAGGGGGTTTCAAAGTTTCACGTGTAGCTGAGCTAGATGCCGTAAGACAGGTGCATGCCATTTCCACAAATTCTTCCTCAAAAGAAACCCTACAGTTCCACAGCCCCCTTTTGCTTGATACAAAAAGCACGACTCAAGGAAGTCAAGGGCCAAGGGACTCAAGGACCAGACTGGGTCAGACCTGGGCTGAATTCATTTGGGGAAGAAACCTCCATGGTCCAAAGTTGGCCATGTGCCGCCGCAAACACCGCCGTGAACACCGCGTGTGCCGCCAGGAGGCCTTGGACGCCTTGCGCCACCTGGAGGCGGAGCGACGGGAGGAGTTCGCGGTCCCGCGCGGAGGACGCTGTTTTGCAAGAGGTCGGCACTGGTGCAGGGGCAAAGGATTTGCGTCGGTGTGTTTCTGTTTTTGGGGTTCTCAATAGCGTGATTAATAAGTGATAGATGATATGTTATTGATATGCTATTATTGAAATACATGATTATTAATAGTCTCTTGGTCCCTTGGTGTTATTAAGATGTTGAATGTTTAAGGTCCAGGTTAGTCTTCAGGCGTTGGGGAAGTAGGTCACACCATATTCCCAAGACCCACGTCTCATAGGAAACCTCCAACCCCATCAAAGTCCCCATCAACCACATGGATTTGTAGGGGCTAGGAGATCCAACTCATCGATGTACTGTAACTGAACTGCTGAGGTTTTGGTGTGTCTTTGGGCTCCCCTCTTCTGGATTTGAGGATACAACACAATTATATATACCTATACTTTATCCTACATGTGTTTATCTTTGTTTGCTGGTTGACTTGCTGGTTGTTCTTGTATGTTTCTCCAGCTTTGCTTGATTCCCATCGCACCTACTGCAACAGAACCTTTGAGTGAGTCTCTCTGTGTGGTTTGGCATGGAGTTGCCCAGTGGCAGGCACAGCTTGGGCCAAAGAAGGAGAAAGAGGAGGCAGGAGTAGAAGCAACGAAAGAACAGAAGGAGACGGAGGACAAACGCAAGGAGAAGGCTGGCGAATGCTGATTTGGGGTCCATTCAACTACATAGCAATAAATCTAGCTGTCCACTGTTGGGACGCTATGAGTGTTCCATGTTCCTCCCATGGGTAGGGCCTCTTCAATGGTGCTTTTGGGCAAGTTTCCTGAACTATCTTTGCTTGAACTGCTCCTTTGGATGGACCTCTCCTTTATCATGCCTTCGTTCAATTCAATGAACCAGGCAAGAACGCTCTGTGAGGTGTTTAGTTTCGCATGTCAGGCAGAGAAACAGAAGGCCTTTGCGCAGAAGAAAGCGGAGGAGGCACCCAAAGAAGAAGCCAAGAAGGAGATGGAGGAGAAGGAGAAGAAGGAGGAGAAAAGCCAGCAAAAGGGGAAATGCCAGGACAAGGTGTGCAGCACTTGTGCTCATGCCATTGGTATTGGTTTCAAGTCGGTCTATGTGAAAAACCTACAAACGTAAGGGATTCATTGCCAAATTCATGGAACCCCCTGACCATCACCTGACCCATGAGAATTGTGTCCATGTCGAATTCGGATGAGTTTTCTCAACGTGTTTCACAGATGGAGTAGCGTAGCTTGAAACATAGTGAGATAGTTTGAGATAGTGAAACTGAAAGACCGAAGCCGCGTAATACTACATCAATCAATCATATATATATATACGTTAATCAGTTCAAATCAGTTTTAAACATATCCTTTGGGATGACACTGGAAGACCCTTCCAAATCCCATCAAGGCTTCCCTGTCCCAAAAAGACCAACGACTCACTCAACGCATCACCTGACAGAGCACGGGTTCCCGGTCGCCACCGGGTCCTCCGGACCCAGGGGAGCAAAGGCAAAGGCAAAGGGAACCCTCCCAAAGGCCTGGCCTCACTCGCAGCTTGAGATCCGAAGGGGGGGGGAAAGGAGGGAGGGAGGAGAATGGCATCTTGCCAGATAGTGCAAGAATGGCCTAAAGGCGCACAGGCTTGTCCTTTTTTTGAAGGTTGGGGTTTCGAACCAATGCTTGCAATGCTTGCTCTTCTCAGTTTTCTGCATAGCGGGCACATCCAAAAAGAAAATCTTTTCGGGATCCGCCGCTCGGGACCGGAGCTTGTGGGCTTCACCCCGTCCGCGGTGCCGCGCGAACGAACCTGCGGGTTCGTGTTGCTCGCGCGAGGGAAGGGCAAAGGCGAAGGATCTGTGGAGCCCCGGATGCCGGAGGCAGGGGTCATTGGTGGAAGATGAAGGCCTTTGATGGGTTCATATTGGCATGTTATGGGGTCCTTTTTTGGTTTTTGGCAAAGTCCGGTGGTACGAACAAACAGTGGCAAAGATAAACAAACAGATTTCAGATCAACATCAAGGAAGATCTGGCCAACTGCTAGACACTGCTAATGCGTGAGGTCTTTGTTTGCTGTGATGGGACGTCGGATGGGGTACGTCATGCGAGGTTCCACTGAAGATTGCGATGAAGAAGCTCTTTTGGCACCTTGGCCACCCAGCATATCCTCGAACCTGCACTCCTCAGATTTTCGACCACAGGAGATTAAACAGGATCTAGAAAGACTGCATATCATTGAAGCATCGCCAACCAGTGCTCTCTTTCTTTCTTTCTTTCTTTCTCTCTCTCTCTCTCTCTTTCTCTCTCTGTGTCGGAATGCGAGTGGATCCAGAAGAACAACATCATGATGGCAACATTGAAATAACTTGAAGCCCTCCAGAGGGGTTCCCTTGAGACCCCTGTTTCAGGATCTTTCTTCAAGGGATCCCAAGACCGGCCCCTTGAAGACCCGGGCTCAATCGTCCTCTCCTCCACAGGGCCCTCCAGGTGGCCGCCCCCCCCTCCACACATCTCTACACAAAGAAGAACAGAAACGCAGCCGAGATCGAGGTGTGTCGAGTCGGGTCATAGCCGGGGATGCTTTGCCATTAACATGAGTTGCTATACAATGTCCTTTAGAATCCTTTGTTTCTGAACATGGGTCAATCACCTGGAGCACACCATGTCACTTTGACCTTATACAAGGTAGTTTCCCAAGTTGCACAAGATAGGTGCCATGCCCATGATATGGTGCCATTCACCCGCAGCCATGAGGTCGGCGTTCTCTTCGGGCATCTCCCATGGGCGTCCGAAGCGTCCGAAGCGGACCCGTGCCGTCCTCTCCTGTCCCTCCGAACGGTTTTCGTGTCGGGAACCGAGAAGCGTCCCACCAGGAATCCTTTGAAGCTGGGAAAGACCGCCTCAGTGCCTTGGACCATCGACCTTCGGACCGCCGGAGTCTCTGCGTCGCGTCCGGAAGGGCGGGCGCGGGTCAAGCGGTTTTGGTGGCGGACCGCCGTGGCCCAAAAACTGCAGGACCTGGTCCCGGTCTGTTTTTGGGAGTGGTTTTGGTTCCCATGGTTTTTGGGTGTTTGCTGCGGCGAAAGCGCAACGCGGAGCGCCCCTCCTTTCCGACCCTGGTCCCATCAGACTCGGTTTCGGCCCCCAGGGAGGTCACCGCAATGCCCGAAGGGTCGACGGTGGATGCAATGAATATCTCCAGTAGCATCTCCACCTTCAGTGCTTCAAGTTGAAGAGACACAAACACGTGAAAGAATATGATATGTGTTCTTTAGATCATGAATAAATATATAAAGCTCAATTGAAAAAAAAATACTTAAAAAAAGAGGCAGGAGATGCGACGCGCTTGCGCGCTGTGGACGCATCCGGAGATTCGGACCAGGGAGTCCTTCAGAAGGCAACCAAACCGGAATCTTGTTCCCATGTTGGACGGGCTATTCACCAGGAGCACCAACATTCAGGGTTGGAAGACTTATAGCTACAAATTCCTTTTTCATTTCATTTGCGACATTGTCGAACTATCCAAAGACGTAGATGCTCTTCATCAACAAGATTTTGTAGAAGGGGCACAAAGATGTTCATGTCTATAGGTTGTTTCTGCAGCAAACCTAAGCCTTGAAGATTTAACAGCGTTTCCCGCTCAGAAGACAAAGTTGATGAAGCCGTGCTATTTGAAGCTACTTCGAAAGCCCAATGACCACCACCAGGCCCAGAAATCTGTATGAGAGGCAACCACACAACTGAGTCTGAGCTTGTACCTCCGTGAGGTCTTCTCCGTCGACGACCAGCGGAGGGCCGACGCCACCTTTTTGGTGCACTTCTCGATCTGAATCTAGATGTGCCTAGGGCCAATCCACTGAGGCCGTCCTTGCCCGGACGTTAAGCAGACGTCCACGCCGTTTGCTGTAAGAGACCTAACCAGGAGTCGAGGAAGGCTTCAGAAGAGTGGAAACACAGCAATGAAATCCTTTAGCTTGTTATATCCAGTTGCTTCTGAGAATGGGTTCATAAGAAGCCGTTCTCCGCGCGTTCTAACGTGAAAACACGCAGGTTTGCATGTTTCCTTGTGCTTGCGCTTGGATCGATATTCATTTTTGTGTTTGTTGGTGGCAGAAATGACCAAATAATGAAATTCTCCATTAAGCCGAACAAGGTGCACCTTGTTGACAGACAGCAGTCACAATTCGAATGGGGTCGAAAAACTTGAGTTGGTGATATCTGGGTGACACTCAGAAGTTTCGCTTGGTTAGGTACATGCTTTTCGAATGCTCATTGGTGTCCACTACACATCAAGGGATGAAAGCTCTATTCAACCTCGTCGTTTGGAAAGACAAACGATGTGCAATCGAAAAGCGAGGTAAATGAGGTAAAACACCCACAATCGGCCTGGACGCGGGCCGCTCACTTTTGTGGGCGTTACACGCTCCCTTCGGTGCGCCAGGGGCGCACAGTGGGAAACCCTGTGTCGTGGTGCGGTGATGTACTCCGGTTGGCAAGTGCTTTTTAGCTGATGATGGCTGTGAAATTGCTGTCCGGATCAACATTGTGACCCTGAGGTGCCAAATGCATTTCTTCAGGGAGTACAGGAGCTTTCGGACGATGGTGGGCCAGCAACCCTGGAGCAATGTTCACTATTTACCCTGCTGGATAGAACTAAGTTCATCGAGCCCGCGTGCTCAGTTGCGCACGCTCGGAATTGCAAGGTGTGTCTTTCTATATCTGGACTGGGGGGCATTGCGTGTCAAACAAATGCTTGCAGCAGAAGTCAACCGATTGGGAGCTGACAAGAGCTGTCCAAAGTGTGTCCATGGGGTCGTGTCTCGGATTTTGCGGGAATTGTCAGAGATCCGAGCTTTGGCTGCAACCCATAAGTCGAGCCAGACGTGCTCTCAGTGTGGGCATTCAGGTGGCGCGCCAGCTTGGCATGTCAGGTGGTCACGTGGTGGTTCCCTGCAGAAGCACGCCGTTCAATGTTTGAAGGACTTGGGAGCTGCTTTGGGCAATAAAAGGTGCTTCACCATTTTGATGCATTTGCAACAAGTTGCCAAGGGTACAACGTACGACATCGTACGATTCTTTGTTCAGTTTCGCAGCATTGAGTTAACTCAAAGCAGAGCAGGGCATTTCGCAGCAATGGATGACATGTTTCAATTCCGCGACACGTCTGCGCAGAGTGTGGGCCTCAGATGTTTCTGTCACCAGGTTGATCCGAAAGTATAGAACATTGATCAACATTGACCCCGATACAAAAGCCCAATGTAGGCACTGCACCTCTACAATGTCGATTGGTTTTCCAAGACACTTGAACGGCTCTGAGGTACTGTTTTCTAGTGGAGGACAGGGCAGTTGCAGAGCACCGTTGATTTTGCATACCTTATTGGAGGTAGCCATCGATCAATCCAGACCAGATTGTGTTGTTCAAACTTCATCAAAATTCCAAGTATCAGTCTTCAGGAATGATGACGGGTTGATGCATAAAAATTGCCTTGCCCATCGGCCAAGGACCATGAGTTCACCAAACGGACTACGGGAGCTGATAACGTATGCTATGTTTGACGTGACATTTTTCTACAAAGTATGATCAAACACAGAACATGTGCACTCTGGGCCAGGAGTTCTCCTTCAATGCACAGGCCTCGGTCACGCTGATGTTTGGCGAAAACGCGTCCAAAAAATTGGCCGTCGTCATCTTGCAATGGCGTAAAATGTTTAAATCAAGAACCCAAGTCAGCAAATAAAATACCGGACGATGGTTTTGGCAGCTTCAAGAGGCACATAGCAAGTGGGAATCGATCGTCTAAAGGTGCTTGCATGTCATTTGATGAGGCTTGCCTTTGGACAATCTTTTGTGTAGCAACCTTGTCCAAACGTTTTTCTCGATGTGGCGAAAGATCAATTTAATTATTGACAGCCGAAAGCAAATTTAGCATTCACATTTAGTCTGTACATGCGGCCCGTCAAGCTGCAGCATGAAGGGACGTTGTCAGAAGATGGCCCGGAGGGAGCATAGCCCGGGGTAGCGGACCAGTACAGTCCGCTGGCCTTTTGCTCCGTTGAGATTGTTTCCTTTGTCTTGAAGTGAATGTCTCCGGTCAGCCGCTGCTGCTTGACCTCCGCTGCTGAAACAATTCCCCTTTCGTTGTTGATTATACCATTGAACCTGTCCGCTTTGCTCATCCAATCACTGCTCATCGGAGTCCTTCTTGGCAAGGTCCATAAGTACCCACTGATCCCACCCCGAGCCAACTGGGGTTCACCGCGCGCCGGCCTTAGACCATACACTCATCATCTTGCTCGGCGCTGGCCTTAGTTCCAAATTTAATTGATATAGAATATAAATAAATAAATAAATAGATATATATATAATACCCGATCATAAAATCAAGATAGCTTTCGATGGTGTGAAATGTGTTCTGCGCATTGAGTGTGACAGAAGTAACGGACACGAGCGGTTTAGTGACAGTGAGAGTGAGAGAGTGAGTGAGTGTGAGTGTGAGTTGAAAGAGTGAAAGAGTGAGAGAGTGAGAGAGTGAGAGTGAGAGAGTGAGAGTGGGTGTGAGGTGAGGTGAGGTGAGGTGAGTGAGTGAGTGAATGAGTGAGTGAATGAGAGTGAGAGTGTGAGTGAGTCACGAAATGCTCAATATCAGTCTTTTCATCGTAATGGCCCGGACTGTGGTAATTGGATGTCACTCTTAAGCCACTTGCAAAGTGACCATACCCAGGGGCCACCGTGACTAGCGTGGAAGGGTTGCATATTGACTATAAGGCTGTAGTAGAGAATGCAATTGTCGCAGGGTCCTTTATAAGTTTTCTATATAGAAACGAGTTTTGTTGTAGAATCTCCTTGTCGTAAAGATTAAGGGCAAGGCGGATAAGGAAAGGACAAGAAGCGTTACCCTTGGACAATCACATTCTTTGCTGAAACAGTTTTTTTGAAATTTGCAACCCTTCCACGCGGTTCAAGAGTGACATCAAATTACCACAGTGGCGGTGGACCCTGGGTATGGCCACTCTGCAAACGGTTTAAGGGTGACGTCGAATTACCGCACCCGGGGGTAACATCAATGTTAGAAAACACCAATAAAATGAAGACTTCGTGAGCGGTTTAAGAGGGAGAGGGAGAGGGAAAGTGACATCCAATTACTATAGGGTAGCGCCGGGGCAGAAATGATTCCCCTCCGCGGAATGATTCTGATCCTGAGATCTCTTGCCTTGTCTATAGGGTGTTGCGTGTTATGAGTATTTTTTCACCGTCGATGTGTTCTTCAATCAATTGTCTATACCATGATGCTCTAAGATAATTCCATCACCAAACGGGCATGCCGTTTCTCTCTGGCGCCTTACACCGCATCCAGGTCTGGGAGCGGATCTACGAGCGTTACGCGGAGAGGATGCAACACCCGGACTTCGACCCCACGACCGGAAGCCACTTCGACCGGATGGAGCTGGAAGCCCACTTCGCAGAGGCGCGAGCGGGGAGCGCGGAAGCCCCCAGCGCGAGCGGGGAGCGGAGCGGCGTGGTGGGCCCTGGGCCTGGCGGTTCGCACGGCGTGTGGATTTGCGCACGGATGGAGCTCGGATGGAGTGGCGCTAAGATACTGCATGGCAAGGAAAACAGACGGCACTGGCTCGTGTGGTTCGTCACAAGAGTTGTGTTTGTTGGTGTTTTTTGCGATGGAGGATGATTCCAGGGAGCGTATTTTCGTTGATGCTAGGTGTAAAGCCATGTTATCAATCAAGAGTCGTAACATGATAGTATTTTCCCCACAGACCCGACCGCCGCTGCCTTGCTGGAGGCCCTCGGTGGATCCTCGCCCCAAAAGACGCGGGCCTCGCTCGCGCCGCTCACGCGACTTGGATAGATTCTGGATGGTTTTGGGCCATGGAAGGCCTCCGGAATTGGAATGTGTTGGCTAAATGTATAGGTGTTTGATGTTTTTTCTTTTTCTGGTGCCTCTCTGTGTGGGAATGTGTGGGATACTTTGAAGATACGATGGTTCTACAGTTATAGTTCCACGTTCCACGGGTATTGTCATTTCCCAACAACAATTGTTTTACTCAAGGAGTTTACACTATGTTTATTCTCTTGATAGCCACGGTCCACCGTTTTGACTGGTCGAACGGATGCCTATAGGGATTACTTTTGCTTTCACCGTCCGGGCAGTCTGGCCAAGGAACCACCGACGTGTCTTGGAGGAGAAGAGACGACGGGAGCTGTGGTTCATGCTCGACACTTGGGCAGCAAGCAGCAAGTTTTGGAGCAGGAGTTTTAGCAGGTCTCTAGCAGGCTCAGTTTAATGGGTGGCAGGAAAGAAACCTTAGTAACTTAGGAATCTGCTGTGGGTGAAGGTATTTTGGAGGTCAAAGTGTGGCCTATCACTTCTAAAAGATGCTGGGATGCTAATAGTACACAGTTCTGGCTTATCTGACTTGTTCTTATCCAGATGTCCACCGGGATCTCCTTCCAGCCACTCTGTGCGGTGAAGTCTAGCTTTTGAAGCTTACAGTGATTCCAGTGCCCAACCTTGCTCTCTCGGTGAGATCTCAGCTTTCCCCACTCATCCTACCCCACCCGCTGCATCAACCACGCCAATACTGAGCATCTTCCAACGCCCGAAATCGAGGAAACCAGCGCCCACAGCGCCCGAAATCGTTTCCTCCTCTCGACTCGATCCCCGCTGCTAGCGTCGTTCCCTCGTCGTTCGGCCTCGCCGGCGCCAGGCCTTGATGCCCGGCAGCGACCAGCTCCTGAGGGCCGTGGCCTACATGGACGACGAGATCCTGAAGCCCGACAAGGCCGCGGCGTGGCACGGGGGGGGGTGCTCCGTATTGGGCGCAGGACGTGGGAAAGGATGGAGGAAGACGGATGAAGACGGGGACAGAAGGATGGGGCGAGATCTTGGGTGCAAGGACGGAACGTGGGAGGGCGAGGAGTCGGAGCGCTGGGAGAAGACAGGTGAAAAGAGATGCAGAACAGATCTTCAGCCTGAAGGGGCGTGGCATTGAACGTTTGGTCGTTGGTGGGTGTGTTGAACGATGTTGAAAGTTCGGTTCGATTGGAAGGTGAAAACTGAGGTGAAGAAGGATCTTAACCAGACATCCGTCACGCGTTTTGGGCGAAACGCATGTTTTCCGTGTCGCTCGTGTTTCAATTAGTCTAGCTACAGACTACCTGAAACGTGCATGGTGAGTCCCGGGTCTATCTCCTGCCCTGGTGTTTTTCTTGACCCTACCATGACCTGCAAGAGCCATGGGTGAAACTCAAGCTTCCCAACATGAGAGATCCTTCTCTTTCTTGGCCCGAAACTCATATTGGCCGCTTCCCGTCTGCCGCTTTCCCCACACTCCCCACACCGGCCGAACGATGACAATGACCTCTCTTGGTCCCTTGGAGCCGACGCTCCGCTCGCTTCGCCGTTCCTCGGTGGCCGCGGATCGGGGCGAGGTGGAACTCTTGCAGATGAATCTTCCCACCGCTGCGGATGTGGAGTTGAATCCTTGCTGCGGATGTGAGTTTTCGGGTTTTGGGGGGCAGCGGTGGCAGGGGGGGGTTTGGCTGGGGGGGCTGGAGTTTGATTTGGTTTTAGCTTCCGCTGAGGGTGGAAGCTGGCAGAACTGGATCATCACTCATCTTCAACTTCCCAAAGTCATGGGTAAGCCATAGCCTCCAAGCATACATGAGGGCAGGCCACGAAGAAGGGACTCCATGAAAATCAGAATGAATGTGGTAATGGGTGGTGTTGTTTGAGTGCCTCCTGAGACGGCGTTTGATGTTGGGGTTTAATGCTCTTTGGCAATGCTTGCAGTCCAGTTCACGGTGTCAGAATAGTATAGAATCAGTATAGAATAGTGAACTATTGAGTGAACTCACAATATCTCACAACTAATGTTGGATGTTGATTAGTAAACCGGTCTTCAATAATGCTATTTTTTCCAAACTTATTCCAGACCCCATGTTTGAAAAAGTGGTCCTGAATAATGCTAATTGTTTTTGGGGATCCTAATTGTTTATTGGACACCTAATTAATAAGGGTTTGAATTCCTTCTGAACCCTGTCCACCTGCACTCCCCCTCCCTTCCCAGGCAAGCAGCCAGCAGCAAAGCAAAACACAGACAAACAGACCCAATAATGAATAGGTTTCTATAGTTCTTCTTCAAAACTGACAGCTTCACAAAACCATCAATTCCCTAATCAATCCTTTATGTAGTAGTATGAAAGGATTGCAAAGAATACCTAATGACAAAGAATTTTAGAAAGGACAATGAATACTACAATCACAAAAAGGAATCCTCACAGGAACCCAGATTTGTTTTGGTGGTAGTTTGATTATAGAGGGTCTCCCATTTGTTTGAGGGAGGGGGGGGGCCCCCTTTACTAATCAGGATCCAACATTAGTCTCACAACTCACAACCCATCTCAATCCGTGACCCAAGTGGCCATTTCAGAATATTTCATGCCATTTCATCAGTTCATCAGGTCACCCATGCCAAGGCCAAGCAAGGCACTGCACTGCACTGCCTGTGCACCATCTTGCACCCTGCACCCGTACCAGGGACCGACCCGTACCGTCAGTTCTTCGACCCAATCGGGTAGACGCCTAAGGATCGAAACCTCACTGATGAACAGCCCCCTGGCGGAAGGCGCGCGCGCTTTTCCGGCGGGCGGAGGTGTTCAGGGAATTCAAGGGGCACCAATCACAGAAGCTCACTAGGTTGCCAGTGACGCGTCGTGGGATTGCTGATTTCGCTGGAGGGAGGTCTGCTGCTACGCGTGGACTTAGACTTGGGTCCACCTGAGGGCTGATGTGATGGTGACGGGTGCGACGTTCCTGGGTTCATTTCCCAAGAGCCACCAACAAGGCCTTGCCGCCTTGCCCTGATTGTGAAGGGCACAGGGAACCATGTTTCAACAAACATGCATGCCTGCATGCTATGTGTGATCCTGTAGCAGAAGGAGGGAACATGTGATGGAACAGATCATGTTTGGAAACCATTTGCATACATCATTTGTCTTATACAAACTCTCAAGAGGTCTTGCAAAAATTGGAGGAAGGGAGAAACGCTGCCATCGCCGATCTCCTCCTCGCCGATCTGGGCCGGAAGGTGAGACCTGGGATGTTCCAGAAGAGTTCGTCGGGAGCCCAGAGGACCCAGTGGGGCGCAGTGGGGGGGCCGGAATGGGCACAGCGGCACCGCATGGGCACCCGATCTGCGGATGTGGTTTGCGAGGTGGAAAAGGAAGACACGATACCCTCTTCCACCTGGGCGTTCCGTCACATGGGCAGCAATGAACCAGCTTCCCCTGCATCATGGAACCCTGAAAACCCACTTGGAGGAAAACGGGTCTGAACACGAGGAGAATTCTCAGGATCCCATGGGATCGTTTGGAAGAGATCGGGACCATCTGAGCACCACGCATGGCGCTTGGGCCGATTTCCCCGGGCGGGCGACCGGTGCTGTCCAGGGTGGTGTGCTGAATGATCGGGACCCAGGTGAAAGGATGCTGTGACGTTCTGCTTTCGGACAGCAGCAAGTCATGAGATGAGCCAGGAATCTAATCCCAGCTGGAAGTGGATGCCATGGGCTCCCCTCGGAAGACCATGTTTGTTTCCTGTTTGTCCGCAAAACACTGCGGGGTGGGGTTCCACTTTCCATGGGATGTACCAGCTGTGTTTCCCTACAAGTCTCATTAAGCACCGGTTTTGGCATGGTTTGGGCCTTTTCCCACACCCCCGTTTTGCATGAGGTCCGTTTGAGACCTGTAGCATGTGGTGCTACTTCCGGCTCCGTCGATCTTTCCCCATGGACTGGCTCCCAACAATGCCCCCCCTCCATTTCAGCGCGCGCCTGACCGCGCGCTGACCGCGCCTGACCGCGCCTCTCGCGGCACATGGGACCGAACTTCGCGCTGACCTTCTCCCAAAGGCCTTGTCCATCTCCAAGATCCCGCAGTACGCCACACGGGCCCGAGGGATGGGAGGGGACCGACAACCGGACCCGGGGGGAGGGGGAAAGAAGAGACTGAAAAAGAAAGGGACGGGAAGAAGTGGTGCGCGGGAACACGGGCACATGCTGGTGGTGAAATGTGTATCCATGTCTTGGAGTCTTGAACCACACATTCTGTTCTTTTGAAGTATCGATTCTTGTCTTTGTAGTGGCCAGCCCGTTTTTTTCCGGTTTGGACCAGAAGAATGATCACGAAGATCATGACGACCCTGCAAGTATCAGCTCCGGAGCGCAGCATGCTAGCAAGCATGCTTGAATGTTGTGTCACCTTTGGAGCATTTTGGTGGGTTCAGGCTTCGGATTTGACATGAAAGGCGAGACGAGACCATGGAACTTGCCATTAACAATCCTTTTTTGGGCCACTCCTTTCTAGACGCTGGCTGCCAGCTGGAGGTGAAGATGTGGAGCTTCCTGAACTCCGTGGGCGCGGCCATCGCACGCTTGCGCCTGGCACAGAAGGAGCCGAACGAAGCCCGCCCGAAATGACGAACGGACGGTCGTCTCGTCGTCCGAGGGCGGGTCGTGCGTCGTCTGGATCGTCTCCGCGCTCCGGGGAGCGCCTCGGGGACCCGGAGATGCGATGGGTGGATGAGGCAGTGGGTGAAGGGTGAGGCCTTTCATCTGCTTGGCTGATCTTGGTTTCTGCATGTTTCTGCCCTTTCTTTTTGTTGATGTGCCAAACCTGTGAGGCGCAGTTCAGCTGGCAGCGGGTATAGGTGGCAGTGGGTAACCCCCCTCCCCGCGTCCAAAGTCGCGCTCGATCGGGCGAGCCTGCGCGCCGCAAAGCGCCGCTTGTGCTGGGAGGAGCTCTTTGAGGCTGCGAAGGTGCTTTTGACGTCCGAGTCCTTGGAGAAGATCTTGGGCTTGGTGCTCTTCGTGGGGAATTACCTGCACCTCGGAGGGGAACAGAGATCACATGTTCGCGCGTTCACGCGCGTTCACGCGTTGCGCGCGATGGATCTGCACGGGGAAGAGATGGAGGAGGAAAACGGTGATTTGAAGATCATGATTTGTGATCATGTATGAGCTGCTTAGCATCCAGAATTGGTGATTGGTGGTTCCATGTAGTTCCCTTTAGCACCTGCTCACCTTGCAATTTGCCAACATGGTGTGGGGGGGGTCCACCTTAATTAGGTTGAAACATGTTGAAACAACAGAATGCCAGCTCAACGAACTCATGCGTGGCTCGGGATGTGAAATTCGGCTCAATTCATTCGTTCCTCAGAGAGAAGACGGGAAGAATCACCTGAAACAGCCATGGACACTCAAGGCGAACAAACTCCTACTTCTCGTCTCAGACAGAGAAATGATCTCGTTCTCCAAAGATGTGCGCGAGGCCGCCGGAATCCGCGGCGTGTATTTTTGGGGCCTTACCCTCGCGGCCCATCCCCATCCCATCCACAGCAGCGACCTCATCTCTCTCCCCCATCTCTTCGTACCTTGCGGCACCTCCCCGCAAAACCCGGGGAACCCCCAAGATGGAAGACCCACCACGCCCATCCTTATCATCCCCCTACCCCGGTCGACCCCGACACTGGTCTCTCCGACCGTACCGTTCTCCGTGCCCGGGTGCCCAAGGAACGGCGGCACGGCGCGGGGAAGGGCCGATGGCTTCGACCTCGAGGCGCTGCCGAAGTTGGCCAAGCTCCGCGGCAGAGGACCGGCGAGCCGGAGGGAGCTGGAGCTGGAGCTGGGGGGCCATGGCTTCATGTGGCTCCTCGCGGAAGCAGTGGGGGTGGCGATGGTTTAGAGCTGAATGATGATGTGATCATGTGTGAAAAATAGAGATCTTCCAACTATGCCAAATTTCTGTCATAGAATATCGTTTAAAACCAGCCGGCCTAGTTGGAAGATCCAGGTATAAGGTGGCATATGAATCCATACATGGGGGTGGTTAAAAAGGGGGTCAATGTAGGTATCATACACATCAAGAGGCGCGGTTGGAGTGAGCCCAGAATGAGGCCCGGCCTGCCTGGATCGGGTGTGCGGACATCGGATGGGCTGTGGAGGGCCACGTACATTGGGAGAGGTCCTAGGTCCGGAACGCAGTGCAGTTCCTCGGGGAGTCATCGGGGTGTCGAAATCTCCTTGATTTCGGTGGATGGCGATGGCGATGGGTGCCTGCAAGAATGAAGTTCGGCAGGAAGGAGATGATCAAAAAACGTGGTATAATAGTAATATACTCGTCTATATCACAATTGACACAATTCAATGTAAAAACACTCTTTTAACATGTACAACACAACCGAATCCAGTTGCCCCAAGTCTCACGAGCGACCGATCGGTAAACCCATCAAGAGCGAATGAGACCGGTCAGAGGTGGCCTGGCGACCCTGTGCGATCCTGCCAACGTCCCCCACGAAGTCCTTCTTCCAAGCGTGCCATCCCCATCCATCCCCCATTAGGCTAGGTGCCCAAGAATTGCCAGATTGGCTGCTGGTTGATCCCCTTTCCTCTGAAACAACCTGTTGCCACCCTTCCCTCCCACGCCCCACCCAATAGAAATGCTTGTGCTTGATGGAGAATTGGCCACAAGTGTTCTAAAGTGACCCTGTCCTACACGATGTTCCAAAATGACCCCTTCAAGAGGTGTGCTAGAGTGACCCTGTTGCCATACAATCATACAACGTGTCTTTCTATGGTTGAGCCGAACTTCAAGATCCAGCACCTCCGACCAACCGGTCGAAGGCTCCTAACCGAACCGAAGGCCGGCCGCAGCCTTCGTGACGGCTACGGTTTGGCTCTTCAGGACATGATACGCTGCTGGACTTCTTGGTCTCCCAGGCGTGGAACCTCGTCCTGAAAACCGTCTCCGGATTCGTCGAGAGAATATCCTGGGGGATGGACATTCGGAGGAGAGGCCTGACTGTCTGTCTACGAAAAGGGCTGTCTACGAGGCGACTTCTTTTTGGTGTGTGTGTGCGCGTGTCTTCCGTCGCGTCCTTGATTCTGGACGGTCCATCATCGCCAAATCCATGGCCTTCCGTAGCCTTCGCATCATGTCTTGGCCTAGGCCTAAGCGGCTGGGAAGGCGCTGTAGCCTCCAGATCCACAACCACCCCACACACCGCCCGCGTGGACGCGCGTGGTGGACGCGTGGGGGGGAACGTGTCGCGCGTTGGCAGGCGGAGAGGGCTTGCCTGGTGCAGCTGTTTGAGCCTGACCGGGAACTGGAGGCCCGAGGGGCCTTGAAGCCCGCAGAGTCCCGGACTGGTCGCTCCAGAACGTGGGACATCTGGGAGCGACCTGATTGGGGACTGGGAGCTGTTCATCAACCATTGCATCTTGCGTTTATTGTTTTTACAAGACTCAGAAACCCAAATACTGTGCATGACTTAGCATGAAACTCCAGCTAGTCAGGACAGATATGGACAGATTCTTGACTCACCAAACGGAGCAGGGGCACTCACTTGTTTAAATTTATAAGGGTACCAGGAGTCACAAGACGGAGTGGTTTTTAGTCCCATCCAGTGAGTGGATGTGACAAGGGCACCCCTATCCTCCGTTCGTTCGGCACCCCGTCTTGTGACTGCTGGTAAGACCACCATTGAGTGCAGATGATGAAGGAACGAACCACCAGTGAAACACACCACGGCGCCCTGCCGCCCCCTCGCTCGCCCCCGCCGTCTCCGCGTCGCGAGGTGCTGCGTCGCGCCCGGGCGCACGCCGTGGCCGACGCGGTGGAGGAGACGAAGAGCTGGATCAGCCGAAGATCCCCAGATGGGCGGTGGGCCGCGGCGGGGGATGGGGGACATCAAAAGGGACCGTTTGGAAGGTGGGTGGAGAAGGGATGAATGAGAAGGGTGCCTAAATGTGCCTGAAGGGATGAGCCGAAAAAACTGGGGTGTTTTTTGGAGGAATTTTTGGGAGCCACCTTCCGGTGCTGTTTTTTTTTGGAATTTTTGAGAGATGAATTGGGGAGGTTGTTTTGGGACATATTGAGGCCGGCTAAAGAGAAAAGATCGAAAGCAAGAGTTGAGGAGCAGCTCCGGCCATCTTTTGTGAGTTGCTGTGTTCAACATGTTCCAGCCAAAGGACCAGCTCAGGCCTCAAATTTGAACAACATGTTTTCTCAGATGTTTTATAAGCTGTTTTCTTGACCTGCTTTATTTTGCGTTGCTGTTGTAAATTTTCAGCAGAATCCAGAAAGAATCGATCACGTCGAGCGCTGGAACCTGCCACGTCAACCTACGATGGATCGGGACGACGCCTGCGTGCCACGCGCGGTATATTCGGAGTCCATCACCAATCCTTGTCGACGCATTCACACAACAATCCAAGAGATGTACTTTGAGAATGGACCTTTGCAAAAAAACAAGAAGAAAAAGCAACAAGTTACCACGTGCAGCCATCCTGGAGAACCATCAACGAGCCAACCCGCAAAAATATGGCCAGTCCTCTGATCAGTCCCGACATGACTCACCCATGGACGGGTGTCAACCGGACCACCCAGGTCAAGCCGAAGGCTTTTTGCCCCACGAGGTGGGCCGATTCCGCGAGAGCTGGCGTTTTGGGTAGAGGTGAGGATCATGAGGCATGAGGATCTTGGAGGGATTGCGGTCAGGACGTGGAGGGCCGAGTAGGGGCGAGTAGGGGCGGAGTAGGGCCATTGACATGAAGACACATGAAGATTTGGGCGTCTTTTGGACGTCGCCTCCCAATTCCAATACCTGTACCATCCTGTCCCTATGCAAAAATCACGCTAATGTTGACTCTTGATTAATCAACTCTCCCCCCGCCCCCCCCTCAACAACCAGGGCCTCCAATATAATCTACTAGAAAACTAATCAAAGGACCAAAATGAAAAGAATCCTTATTAAAATCTTCTTGGCCTTCTCTGGCAATATTAAATTAAAAGGGAATCAATGAAATCTCAAATTTGGAATACTAAAGTAAAAGGAAATCAATAAAGTGGAAATGGAATTCTCAATATTTTAATGGAAATCTAAATCCAAAGACCTTTGCTTGAATGTAAAGGAATAGAGGGTAAGTAAAGCAACTCAAAAGGCAAAGAAAAGGAATTAAGATTTACGGCCTCAAACCTCTAGTCATTATTCTAGGGGCCCCCCTAAATAATGTCAGAAAGCTGCTTGCTGGACTACAGGGATTTTATAAAGAAAGTGCGCACTGACTTTTGGAAACTTTTGGAAAGCTTCAAAACTAAAGAGCTTAGGAAAAGTAAATAAGGAATAAAGAGGGTGAGTAAAGCAAATCAAAAGGGAAAAAGTAAACTATAACAATAAAAAATATTCCACTACAACTATCCCTGCCAAAAAAAAGACATTATTCTGGGGGCCTTTATTAATCTGTGCAGGAAAAAAATAGACATTATTCTAGGGGGCTTTATTAATCACAGGTCTACATTAGTTCTGCAATGACATGATCTCCTCCATCCTCCGAAGCGATGACAAACACACGACGACCCTCCACCACACGTCCATCGGCATGATCTTCCAAATCAATCCACTGGAGTCACTGGGATCACAGGGACCTCGCTCGCGGAGCCGAAGGTACGGAGGACACGAGACAGAGTGCCCAAGAACATCCAATGATGGGACGAACGGACCGACTAAACAAACGCCCCCCGACGTGTGATTCCTGGCAGGCAAATCCATGGTATCTTCCCACGAAGATGTCAATGTCCCTGGCACCGGTGACCCTCCATGCAGGCTCCGAGTGAGGCTCCAATGCGCATGCGCCAGGCGCGTGCGTCGCGTCGTCGAGCGTGGGGGCCTGAAAGCGGAAGCCGCTGGAAGGGGAGGAGCTCGGAAGCCCAGAACTGGGTTACCTGAGTTGGAAGCTGCTGGCTAGATGCATGGCAGCAGCTTGATCTTTCCAGCCGTTGATTTAGCAAAGAAGAATAAACATAAAGGATACATAAATATATATATATTATATATAATATACCTTGCTTACCTTTGGATGCCCAGATTCTGCAGGTACTCAGTAGGTCAAGGAACTATCACGGCAGCAACACTCTTACGAACCAGAAGGCCTAAGGAACAGCATGAAACCAAAGTTCAAGGACGGCCAAACAATTTTGAGCAACTCTGGTGTGGAGGATTTCCACCAATCATGTACAGCTGGCGGTGTTGTTGGTTGGCAAACAGAGTGCTGTTGCATGTGTTTCTCCTTGGTCAATTTATGTTGAATTGTCTATGCCGCAGTTACACTCCGAGTCCCTAACATGGAAGTGGAACACTCTCTGTGTTGGTCAACACGGAGTTCTTTTTTCCAAGAGGCCTAGCACCATCAGTCTTGCCATCCCCAACGTAGCCTTTTCTGCAGTTCCGAACTTTGACTACGGCGCAGCGGCGCACGTTCACAGGAGCAGGTCCAGAAGAGTTTGGGAGAGCTTCAGGAGGTCTTGGCCACGTTTGGAGAGACGCTTGGCCAGAGATGGCCTTTTGCTGGTTGGTTGATGAATCGAGGGGATGCCTCCAAGTGAACAACCAAGTGAATCGAGGTCGGCATCGACCCCTCCCAAGTATGGACATCATTCGGACATCATTGTGCCAGGCACGGCGCAACGGAAACGTAAGGCCCTAGGCAATAAAAGACGGATGGGACATTCGATGACAGTCGGAGTCGATCAGTGAGTGGGCAGGTTTATTTTGGTTTGTTTGTTGGGGTGTATGCGGTGTTCCTCGATGTTGTTTACTCGAGGTGCTTCTTTCATCTTCTTTCCAACAAGTTGACTTAAGCTTGGGCTCATCTCTGGGACAACAGCACCTACGCGTACCCCGATTCTTACACGACCTGTTGGAGCTTGAAACGCGCTCACCAAAGACGGGCTGCCTGCTTGCCCCACTCAGGTGGCAAGAGAAATACGCCACTCGGCCGCGCGAAGCCGGGTCGGTCGGTCGCTTCCTCCGCGGTCGGTCGGTCGATCTCAGAGGAGACCGGAGACCGGAGAAGACGGAAGAGATCAGAAGAGATCGGAGAAGGTGGAGTGGAGGAAAAAATCGATGAACACGTGAGTGAACACGTGTTTTTGTTTGATTTGTTCGAAGGATTGTTTCCAAGATGTGGCCTTTTCGCATGCCTTGGCATGCCTTGGCCTATCAGTTTTCTGATCCCCATCCTTCTGATACAGAATGGAGATCAGTGGAGTGGGAATCAGTTTGGTCGGTTCAAAAAAAATAAAAAAGGCAGGTAGGTCTTTCGCCAGGTTCCCCACTGTCACAGTTTCACACAGATTCACCAGTGGTTTGACCATGACCATGAGTTGACATCGGTTGAACAGATCCGCTACATGTTCAGTTCATGACCTCCCCACACGACTCCATAGGACTGCCAGTCCGGACTGCTTTCCTCAGTGGTGATTTGGGGGGCATCAATGTAAGCATAATATTTTCCATACATGGAGTGAGTGGGGTATTAAAGATCTCTATTAGCCGCAAGGAATCCAAGAACATGACGCGTAGCAGCAAGCGTAGCACGTGCCGCACCAAGGAGGAACTTTGTCAATGGTTCCAGATGCAGGACATGTTTTGTTTTCAATGCAGGGATTTGGGTTGAAAACAGAAGGAGCCTCATTGTCAAATTGGGTCTGCTGCCTGTCATACGATGAGTTTTGGAGTCCCAAAACATCCCAAAATCAAAGCCTTCCAGAGCTGGTAGGATTTGGGTCATGAGGAGTCTTGCGCGACGGGTCGGTCGAAGCGTTAGACTCTAGACATCTCAGCAAGCATCACCTGTTTCATCGGCGGTCAGTGCGGGCAAAGAACGGTCGAAGCGTGCCGAATCAGTAGCTCCGTCAGTACAGCTGATGTCACGATGTCGACCACTCGACGGGCTCACCAAGCTGGCGCAGTCAGCGCCGGTCAGCACCGCGCGTGTGGAGGATGTCCGGCAGCGGCCCTCGGAGGAGTTCTTTAGCCTTTGGGAGAGCCACCTGGTGAGTTCAGGGAAGGGAACTTGGGGAATTGCATGGGTAGGGTAGGGACAGCAGGGGTATGCAAGGGTATGCACGGGGTAAGGTACTCCCTTTGAATGGTGTGTGTGTGTGTTTTTCTGGGGTGTTCCCCTTTGCTCGAAGCCAGCTGAATGGATCATCCATTTGCTTATTGCGACTATTACGTGGCTCGCTTTAGGATTGGACAGAACAAGTCGGAAATAATGACGAAAGCCAGCCGACAGGCTAGGCTGAAGTCTGAAGTTAGTTCTGCGAACGCAGTAAGTAATGGGGGCATGGGGCATGGGAACCTGAAATAGTAGTTCTATAGCGAGCAAAATAGGACATCATGGAACTATAGTTCCTGCCAATTGCAATGCTTTACCGTGAAAACACACCGCACGTTTTTTTTTGCAGTGTCAACCGCTGGGAAACGACGCCACGGTTTGGTCCGCCACGGTTTTCTCCCAAACTTGGGGCGGGCGGCTGACAAGCTGCGACTCCCGGGGAGCGAGGGGCTATGGATATCGCCGGGGGCAGCCGATGTTTGTCCCAAGCAAGAAAAGAGGCAGCCGGGTGACTCGGAGCGAAAGCAGGGAGTTTGCCAAACCCCTTGAAAGCTAATGTATCATGCTGCATGCCTTTAAATCTATAGCTCCAAGCTGTTGAAGCTGTGGCCTCACGGTCACCTTGAGGTTTCCTGAGTGACTTGAAGAGAGCCTGGGAAGGTGGCGCACTCAGCAGTTGTCGTTCGAGGTGAAGAGGGCCGTGCCTTCGATTGGTTCCCATTCCACCCGGAGCGACCAATCCACCACGATCCATGTCGTGGTCGGATGTGGACTGAGTCTCAAACATCCTACCGTGGACCGTGCTGGATGTTTAAAGGCTCATCACGATGTTGGGAGATTTCGGCCAACTGAACCGTCATCATCCACTATCCGGGAATTGGATATACATGGATATACCATATTAAATATATATATATATATCCGCCATGTCATCACGACATCATCACGACGTGGAAAAGCCGCAGCACCGGCACAGCACCGCCACACCACCGGGACGGTCGCGGGACGATGCGGGGAGACCGGCTGAGCTCGGTCGCGTGGGCCGCATGGAGGTTATCAGCGAGCGCAAGAAGCCAAGACACCTCGAAGGTCGAAGTCCTTACCACCGAGGCGCGGATCTGGGTCTCCAGGGTCTCCGTCCAGCGCGACAGCGGTGGGGGGTGTCCCCCAGGATCGAAGACGAACAGAACGAACCACGAAGAACGAAGCTGAAAACCAGCTGGGTTTGTGGAGGAACATGGTCTTCCAAAGGTCCATGTTCAGGTTCCATGTGGGTCTCTTCCCAAATTGTAATTGGTCATCTATGATCATCTATGACTTCCTTGGGTGTTTGTAGCCTGACCAGGCAGATGATCAACACATATCAACACCAAAACCACAACCTTTTTGAACCTATCCGGGCCCCCTAAGGGGGGTCTATATTATGAGATATTAATTGAGAGAGGTTAAGGAGCGTCCATGAACCACCCCCTGGTCTTTGGGTCCTGGTCATAGTATGTCACAGTGAATCTGACTTGGTCATTCTCGCCCCGGGTCTTGCTGCAGGCGGCGCAGCGCTCCAATCCTCTCAGCACCCCACGGAGTGCAAGTGCCTCGACAGGAGCACACAGACCAGTGCCCGTGGAGCGAAGGTCGACCGGGCGGGGGGACAACCAAATCCAGTTGGCTTATTCCGAATGTATTGTTTTTTGGGGAAAGCACTAAGCAGGCTGTCTAACTTCCACACAGAAGTGCCCTGATAGGGGTTACCTTGACCTAGGCTACCCGCCTAGGCGGGGAGTATGGGGGGCTAGGTTAGGCTACCAGAGGCCCTACGATAGGGGGGTCCTAGCCCTAGGACCCCCCCTATCATAGGGCCTAGGCTAGCCCTAGGACCCCCCCTATCATAGGGCCAAGGCTAGCCCTAAGACCCCCCTGCATAGAGACTAGGCTAGCTGGGACCCCCCCCTATCCTAGGGCCTATCCTGGAGTCTAGGCTAGGCCTACGACCCCCCTGTGCTGGAGCCTAGGCTACCCTCCCTGTCATAGGGTCTATGATAGTAGCAATAGACGTTGGGAGGGTTGGTTCCTTCATTTCACCTCACCGCATTTTTCATAACCGCCCCCCACCCTTTCATCCATCCACCACCCCAGTCATCCATCATTCAAACAAAATTCAATCCATTGACCCATTCCCCACACCATCATTCAAATCCTCACCCCAATCTTCCTACACCTATCCATTCTTCATTCACCCAATCATTATCTACCATGTCATTTCCATCGTAAATTCGCATTCATCTTCATTATCATACAGCCATACTCACCAACTCCCCCTACCCGATTCATGTCATTTCATCATCATAGGTGTTTCATAGGAACCCACCTAGCATCAAGGTCTCTCATAGAAAAAAGTCGGTAGAAATAGTTTAATCTACATTAGGAAATATTCTGTGCTCCAATCCATTATTATATTCACCAAAGTCATTATAATCATGACCAAAATCATTATGATAAGGACCAAAATCAGTATGATAGTGACCAACATCACAATGACAATGACCAAAGTCATTAAGACAATGACCAAAATCATTAAATTATGATAATGACCGAAGTAATGAGAATGACCTAAACGATGCTTTTTGGCGCTCCCAAGGCTGCACTTTACAGAATGAGTTGCTCATTGTGCCCAAATGGACTGCTCACTTTAAGGAATGAGTTGCTCATTTTAAGGAACGAAGGAAGGAGTTGCTCATTTTATGCCATGAATTGCTCATGTTAAGGAATGAGTTGCTCATTTTATGGAATCAATTGCTGTTTTGAAGGAATGAAATGAACGCATTATGCCAGAATTTCAGCAACTTTGGTATAATCTTTTCAAGTAAGAATGTCATCAGCATTGACCATGTGGTGTTCCTTTCAATGATAATGAGTGTTGGATAAATGAACTCCTTAAAACCTATGAAGGCACTGAACTTACAAGAGAGAAGAGAGGAAAACTAGCAAAGACACTATCATGAAACAAAAGACTAGAACTACTAAACATGACAGAGGATGAGATCCATGAATACGGCATATCAATAAATCATACAAGTTTCAGTGCCAGTTGATCTACCGATTTGAACCTAATAACTACAAGAATGGACATAAAATGAAAATTGTGGTTGCAATGATTACAAAAGTCAGGTTTATCCCATCAATGTTAATCAAGGCAGACTATCGCAGTTGAAGCATGAGAAACCTTTAGAACTGACCGCATCTAGTATTTTTCTTATCAATGATAGGGATGAGCCCCCTAAATACAGAATGTTTAGTCATATAGACGAACTACTGAAAATGACAGGTGAAGAAGAGTATTATTTGATACATAAAGACAACAACTTAAATGAGGTGTTGTTTCAATTTCAGAAGGTAGGTTTTGAACTTTATATAAAATACCAAGGCAACAGAATAGCGGATTTAAGGGCTAGATACACTGACAAGAAAACAACCATTAAAGTAACAACCTACATCATCAAGACTCAAGACTTAGCACTAGATGTCATAGGGAGGGATGTCTATACTGATGTTGAAGACGAATATAGTCAAATAGTTGAAGCATTTTTTCAGAAAGTCATAAGTCAAAATTTGATATGACTGATGTAGCAATACTGGATGAATGTAGAACTATAGTTCCATCAGGTTATTTTGATTAAAAAAACATTGATACGACACAACTGATAGACATTGACAGGACTAAAGCTTTTACATGGGCATTCAAACAACTTAAATTCATACCGGTCTTTTCATGAGTATGATAGTGGGAAGCGTTGCAGTAATGACATTGACATTAATGAATTATTTAGTTTAACCTTGTATATGGTGGAAGCGAAGGCCTCAAATGTTTTTTTCAATAAGAGGGCTGATTTAATATATGGAAAGTGTTTAAGAAACCTATTAGAAACAAATAATGAAATAACATATACTTGTTATTAAAAAAAAACACTTCATTCATTCATAAGGTCAATTATGATCAGGTTGTTAATGAACTATGGGAAACTTATATTACTAAAGATAAAAAATAGAACATATTGCCTTTGGAATGCTAGAAGAAATCACATAACACCGCACAGAAGAGTTACTGCTTTAACACTTTGAGGGAGGCATGTTATTATCGAAGGGAGTTTGGAGGATGAATTTATGCCATACAACAAGAAATAGAAAATGAATAAGAATCATGTATGGGCAATACTCACTACAACGTAAACACCATTAACAGAAATAAATTAGGCAATGGTTTTAGATATATACAAGCGATGCTACTACAATATCATGTTTTTGCTATCTGCTCTGAAACCGCGCTAGTAGTGGTTTGGGTTTGGTTGGGGCCTATTCTTTGATCTTACGTTGGCCAGGGGGTTGGGTTTGGGTTCGGGCGGGGCCTATTGATAAACGTTCTTGTGAAAGCACTTTCTACATTTACTCTTCTGCGTCTCGGAGGGAAGACGATTGATATTCACAGGCGGCATTGACGACCTGTGGCGTCTCATGAAGGAAAGTGTGCCCCATGCTGTGTCCAGTAAGCAGACTGCAGCCATCATGCGGTGTGCGCCAATGGCAATGGCGTTGGAACTGCGATAACTGCAACCTGGCTTTTAAGTTGGGCACACAGTTGGACCAGAGGTGACGCAAGAGGTCGCGCGCAAAAAATGGTCCGAAACCCTGTGTTTTTGCACATCGATGTCAAAAATGGTCACCATGTTTGATAGTGATTTTCAGATAACTCTTGATCAGACAACCAAAAATCGTGATTTCGCCTAGGCGAAAACCCTTTTGTGCATGCAACCCAATATCCTGGATCTTGAAATTTGCACGACTACGTGGGCGGAAAGAGAGCTGCCGTGAAATCATATCAGACTGGAGTTTTGAATTTTGAAGAAGGGATGGGCAAATGGAGGCTGACAAACAAATCAATCGATTTTGCAACTAATAAAAACATAATTTAGATACAATGACTTAGTTGAAAATCGTAAAATGGAAAATGAAGAAAACTATGTGGTGGATGAATGGGACACCAAGGCAATATGTAAGCAAATTGAAGAACAAAACCCATGTATGATTAGGGCAAAATTCGCAGGATCAGGTAAGAGTTACGTAGGACAGTTTTTTAAGAAGATGAATAAACATGTTTTGTTTGTAGTGCCTAGCAATAGGCAAAGTCAAGAAATAGAAGGTGACACCGCAACCTATAACATGCTTTTTCGATTTCCAGTTCATAAGGGGGATGAACTACCAGAGTTTGATCATAGTAAGTTTTATGTATAGAGGTTATGGACCCCTATCATAGGGCCTAGGCTAGCCCTAGGACCCCCCCTGTCATACGGCCTAGGCTAGCCTAGGACGCCCCCCTATCATACGGCCTAAGCTAGCCCTAGGACCCCCCCTAGGATAGGCCTATGGACCCCCTAGGACCCTCCCTATGATAGGGCCTAGGCTAGCCCTAGGACCCCCCCTATGATAGGCCTATGGCCCCCTACGACCCCCCCTATGATAGGCCCCCTAGGACCCCCTATGATAGGGCCTATGCTAGGCTACCCCTCGGGACTTCATTGCCCTAACTTCTGAGATGGAAATAGATGGAATCCTTGGACGGACGCCGGACGCAGAAATCGATCACCTGGTACCCGAACTCATTGGTTGACGTCGGGTACCCGACGTTGTGCCTTGAAAGATCTCACCCGTGATCTCCTGCCTCTTGGAACCCATCAACCGAAGAGATCCGAAGAGCTTGTCAGCCCGGTTTGGTTCACAACGAGTGGGAGGCCAGGTGGGCCGTTGGTGGAGTCATTCCTTTTTTTCAGGATTTCCAGAAGAACTTGGAGGATCCAGATCAGTCTTTCAAGATCGTTCAAAAGGTTTTGGGAGGTCAGCAGTTTTGCATGGTTCTATGTCAGCGTTGGGCATCCGGACGGCCCCGACTCTCAGGGCAGCAAGACGCCCTGCTCCTCCCCACGCTTTGCGGGCGGAAACTGCGACGTGCGCTACGTGCGGTACCCCCGCCGGCGCACTGCCATTGGCAGTGCTAGCAGCTTGGATTGCAGCTGTCAACTGTGTCAAGGAAGTGGTGACTATGGTTGGACCAATTTGCTTTCCACGTTTTCATACGTTTTCCTATCGGTTCCATTTTGGAAAAACGGTGACTTCGCTGTGTCAAGGAATTGTCTCATATTCCCCAGGTGGGTCTTCTGCCATGCGCAATTAGCATGCACTGTACACTGGCTTTTGCTCAGGAGGGAGCTCCGGAGCCCGGGGAAACCATAATCTATATATATATATATAGCAAGATTCACCTTCTTCCTCACCCAAAGATTTGAAGGGTTTTCACTTATACATCCAACCACCATGCAAAACCCATAGTGGAAGCTGAGCGCTGGAAGCTGTAGTGCCATCTCCAGCTTTGAGTTCACCATAGTTTGAGCTTTCAAGCCCTTCAAGACCTTTGCCTCGAATGCCTTCTGAAGCGCTACACCATGGCTTGCCCGATAGCAGTTCGTGTTTATCAAAGACTAACAGACGTCACATGAGTTAGTTTGGGAAGACAAAGGGATTTAGACTCACCCAACTGGGCGAACTGGAGCACCCTGATCCGGTCGCAAAAACCAGACGCCGGAGGGTCCGGTCAAACTGACCCACCCAGGTTGGGCAGATCCTCCCGAAGGCGCCGTTGGGCGGGGCGGAAGCGCATCACTCAACGACCAAAGACTGCGGTTGAGTGTGGGATGATCTTAACCATCACTCAAAAACCGCATCACTCATCACTTAGCACTCAACCATCACTGTGTTCTTTTTCTTTTTTTGTTTTTTTTTTGGGGGGGGTTTGGGTGCCTCCCGAAGGCACCCTGATCGCCCAGTTGCGCCACTGGAAATGGACACGACAAAAAATGGAACATGTGGGTTTTGCTCTTGGGTTTGCCTTCAGAGAGTCCTTCACACGGACTGAGGCGTTCAATTTTTCGCACGTTGGACGTTCTGCTGGGACGTCTTCCGTTGGTCTTCCATAGGTGTTGATGTGTTTTTGTGTTAGATATATAATATATAGGTTCCTTGGTTTTTCTCAGTTTGACAGAGGCATCCAAAAGCTTGTGATGTCATTCTCCATGTTCATATTGGCCTCTTCTTAAGAAGACAATATAGTATAATCGAGAATCATTCTCGTTTGCTGAAGATGACTTGATGACTTCCTTGATGAACAATTTCAGCTTTCAATTTGCTTTAAGAACAGCTCCCAAAACTTGCCTCCTTCCCGACGGTTCTCGCTTCGCACCCATCGGCAGCGTCAGCACGAGGGCTCGCTGGGCTCACCGGGCTCGCTGAGAAGGAGCCCGCTTAGGTGGCCTGGACCGTCACTGGTGGTTTTTTTTCGGTTTTCGGGATTCATCGGATGTGAAAAGGGAGGAGGATGTTGTTCCAGTGGAGATGCGGAGGATGAATCATCGTTTTGACTTATACACAAGTCATGGACGTTGAAGGTCACACCAACGCCAGAGGGTGACGAAACGGGTGAAATTGCTTCATTGCTTCTGTCTCCTCTCAAGAAAGAAACACCGGCCAGTGGCCCTTGCCGGTTCTTTCTTCTGGTTGCAGATGTAGCCGTAGGGTGCACGTACTGCGCTGTGAGGTCAGGTCGTTGCATCCTCCGCACCCCAAAAACGGCTCCACAGCTGTGGCACCCCAAAAACCGGCTCAAGGGGAGGTTGAGGGGACCGGGACATCCTCGACAGGTGGCCAGCTTTCTTAAAGAAAGGTTGGGCTCGATTGAGAGAGCAAAGCAGGCGGAGCCGCCTAGAATTGGTTCGACGCGCAGGGCTTCTGGGTGAGGAGGTCTGGCTTTGAGATCTACGAAGAGTGGAACAAGTTCCCGTGGGTCCGCGCAGCGGATGGTGTATGGTGTATATATATATATATATACATTTATGCATGATCCCTACACCTCCAAGTACCTCCTCAGAAGGTATTTGGACCAAACCCACCCCAGTCCCACCTTCTCAGGTTCGGTACGACTGGAGGCCAAACGGGGCTACACCCCTGTGTTCGCTGCCCCACATGATCAGCCGTGAATCCGGTGGGTCCCAGGAACGACAAAGGATTTGACACGTGAATTGTGAGCAAAGGGGAAAGATCACACGATCACCTTGGCCTCACGAACGCTCAACCCAACCATGCAACCCAAAGAGCCCAGCCATGCGACCCGATGACGCCAAGACATACATTCATAGGGTCTATTTAAACTATTCAAGTCCCGCTTTTGTGACAGCGCATGGCCACTGTTATGTTTCCATGAACCTGTTGAGGCAACAGGGAACCTCCATCATTTTGATCGGCGTCCTTTTGTTTTTTGAAGCTGAGCTCTTGACCTCCTCCGTTCCGGCCCTCGTTTCGTCCGTGTCGGGTTCTCTTCCGTGTCCAGCCTCCGGAAAATCGGAGGTCTCCCAGACAGGGCCAGTCCCGGACGGTCTGCCGGAACAAGGTCATGGCGAGAAACCTGCTTGAACCCTACGGGTTTGTTGGGATCTGATAGGCCATGTTAGGCCTCATTTTACTGGACTAGGTTTTCAGGTCTTGCCAAGGTTTTGGCAGATTCTTCCTGCGAATTCTGCGAAAAAATCGGAGCTGGATTCTCTTGAACATGCCGTGGAGTTCCGCGGCCGCGGTCACTGGCTTTCTGGGAGAACGCGCTTGGAGTGCCACGCTCTTAGAGTGCCGGGACGAGTTAATGCAGAGAAAAAGGTGTTGGAGGCCGTCGCTGGATGTCTCGATTGAAGGCCACCGAGTTTCGACCCGGTTTGGGAGGTCAACGATGTGTTTCGCCCCTTCGGTTGGTCGGCGCCTGGCTTTTGGCAGCTATTTCCATGCCAAAGAACGGTAACCGTTATTTCAGCCAAATGTGGGAAGATGTTGACCGGACCCAGAGGGAGGTCGATTATGTTTGATGTGTTGATGGGCCGGGTGACCCTCGGCCATGTAGCGAAGGAATCAAACGCAGGTTGAAAAGCGACTAGTGCGTTTTCGGGTCATTCTCGAGTTGCTCACAGTTGCGTGAGGGATGTTTGGTTGATGTTGGTTGTATATGGAAATATATCATACACGCGTTTGTGAAACTTTTGACATCCGCTTTGTCACGCATTCTACAGCCTGTCAGCTGTTGCCCCAGATTCCTTTGAACTAAAACAGCATCAGCCTTTGCGCCGGATTTGATGCAGCCAAGTAAATCCTTCCAAACACTACGTCCTTACTCAGCGGGTTTTCGAGCACTTGGCACCTGGCACGACCCTCAGCGGTCAAATCGACCTGTGAAGAAGGCGGTCCGGTGGCGCCGGACCTTCTTCGCCGGACCCCGCGTGATCCGAGACCGGTTCTCACCCTGCCTTCCCCCTCCCCCCCCCAGCGCAGGCCTACAAGAAGGCGAACCGCTCGGACTTGTCCTTGCGGATGATCGAGAAGCTGACGCTCGGGGCCCCGGTGGCTGGGGAGGCACACACCCACCTGGCTGGTGGTGAGTGAGGGAATGACGTGAAAAAGAGAAACGTCTCAGTTGGAGAATGGAGATTTGACTGAGACCGATTTATCTTGATTTATCGTATTCCATTGGACTAGGCCAAATGATGCCCAATGTATGTTTATTTTCCATAGGGCTACTTTGATCTTCTTGTGGCTTCCCATGGCTTCCCTGTTGTTCAACTAAAGAGTCATAGTGTCCGAGCGTCCGAGCCCGAGCCCGGCACACAAGTCCTGCCAGCGCTAGGCCGGCGCGCGGTCTAACCGCGCGCGGTCGACGTGACGTGGCGGGAAGTCCTGGCTTCGCATCGTTTTCACCGCTGTTCGCATCCATTTCAGGCACAACGCGGTGCTTGAGAGACGCTTCAAGGACCGGAGTGGGAGTGGTTGGAGGTCGGCTTTGGATGGTCGTGCGTGGCCATGCGTGGCCAAAGAAGTGGGGCTTCCCGGAACGAGTGGTTCCTCACCTCTTAAAGAGAAGAGAAGTGGCCTGGGTCCTATGGCCTGGGTCTCACATGTGTTCACCTGGAACTGGCCGCGGTGCACTGTCTGGAAGTCGTTTCTTTTGTTACTTTGTATTGCGTTTTGATCTATTTAGTGCTGCTGTTTTTTTTTCCGAAACGTTCTCGATGGTGTTCTCCAATTGTATCATTGTGGTCTTGTAACTGAAGGTGTCGATGGTGTCGATGTCGCCAACAAATTCAACCAATCCGATCACTCTTTCCCCAAACCAATCCGATTTCGGACGGACGGACGTGCAGCGACCCACTGAATTCAGTCTCACCGGGTTTTTGGATGGTTTCGGTTCCCCGGGTCGGTCCCTGCTCTGAGCAGAGTGGTACATCAGACCCGAGTATCAGACCCATACAACAGGACTTAACAGGGACGAAAGAAAGAACTGTATCAGGACCCTCCTGTCAGGGTGTCTATTAGTTATTTATAAGCCATTATAAGCCCCTTAGCTGTCAAGGGGTGTCCATGAACCACCCCTTGAAGGTCCTGGTATTATACGGTTGATTCATGGGTACCAGAGATGGAGGAGAAAAGTCAGCCACAGATGGTTCAAATACGGGGCTGTTCCAAGACAATGTCAAGTTGGTCGCAATAGAATAGGGGATGCTGCTCCCATCAAACCAGGTTACCTGGTGTCATACCGTCGACCGGTCGACCGGAGTTCGTGCCCGCCCTATCTCAGTGGCTTGTTTATGGCTGGTTTCTGCCCACTGTGAAAGCAGACACCGAAACGAAAAAGGATCCGTTTTTCTATTTCTTCGAAATTCAGCGATGCGACCGAAAAAGGATGCAGACTTGGTAGACCTTGGTAGGACACATGTCATTTCATGTTCATGTGGGAGGCCGCACCCCGCATTCCATTGGCCGTTTCCAACCCTACCAGCGGGTCATAACTGAAAGTTCCAGCCTTCTTTGACACACACACACACACACACTCACTCACTCACTCACTCCCTCCCACTCACTCCCACCCACCCACCCACCCGCACCCACCCACGCACACCCACCCACACACGCGCACCCACCCACACACGCACACGCACCCGACCATAAAGAACAACATGTCTCATGGCTGGTACTCGAACACGCGCCCTACACGCCCTCACACGTCCGCCCTGCCATGGCCGACGACCTGGAGAGACCCGTCGGACGCGGAGATGGCGGCCGCGGTGCGGCGTACGACGCGGAGCCAGTCCTCAGAGAGAAGACGCCGGAAGAGAAGTGGCTCGGCGGGTAGCCTTGGTGGCGGGCGTGTGGTAGCTGGTCCGTCCAGGGTAGCTGGTGGCACGACCAAAGGACCCGGGGATGGGAGAAGGAGGTTGGATTGTTTGCAAAGTCACATGATAGCTGTTGATGCCAAGTGACAGCAGCTTTCAGGATCAGAGAGTGGGCATATATACGGCATCCAAACGGCTCCTGTTGAGTGTGCACCATCTTTCCCCCTCAGTTCCTCGGGGTCAACCCAGAACGGAGAATCGCAGGTCCGTCGATCTCACTGGACCAGCGGGTCTGAACTCATCCACGTCGATGGTAATGGACTCCTTGGATGACCATGTTCAAAAGACCAAACAGCTGGTGAACTCCACTTCCATGCTTCTTTCAGGGAGTGTGGGGTCCTACCTGAGTTCGACGTCCGGCAGGGAGACGGCTATGTCTATATTTGTCCGGTCCATGTCACCCATGGCACAGCTTCCGCGCCTTCAACCTGAGGCTTCAGTATATGTCGATGGAGTTAGCCGATCGCATGAACTCCATGGAAGGCCGGGCGTCGCCGCGCGAGGAGCGCGGCCGCACCTCCGCAACGGCGACGACGTGTCGCCGCGCGGACGCACGAAGACGCCTGCTGTGGGGCGCGCTTAGGGGGGGTGAGTGGCTGCAGGAGCGAACGCAGGGCGTGTGAAGCAAGGAAGATTTGCCTGGACTTGTGACATCTTGACTTGTTTCACAAACACCTCTTCTATTGGGCGGGAAATTTAATTCCATAAGCATCATCTGTGTAAGAGATCATCGAGGAGTTTACAATTAAAAGTGATCCTCGATCTCTTGACAGAGAAAAGGGATCATCTCTTTGACGGATCAACAAAAAATGGACCTCAACATGGGATCAGAATGCCTTGGACGTCAAGACGTCAATCCTTTTTTGCCCAACCAAAAGGCGGGGATCGGTGGCTCCATGTGGCTCGTGAGCCCTGGGACAGGTGGGGTGATGGTGCCCATGATACACGCGTTCTTCGTCGTGCAATTGGGGACTCATCAAGGATGGGGATTGGGGACTGAAAGCCCAAAACATCCCAAAACAAATAGACTTGGAGAGAACTGATGAATTCATCAGTTAATTCCAAACTCCGGCAATGATTAGACAAACCTCCACTAGAACTTATCTTCGGTGGGCTCAACGTTGGAAGGACGAAGAAGGACGAGACGCAGCCACCAGCGGAAGGAACATTACCTGTTTGGATGATTGGAAGGTCTAGGAGGTGAGTGGATGGGTCGATGCCAACCTTGTGACCCTTGCTCTTCCCAAGACTCCGAATTGGGAATGCAGGTGCATGGTTGCCTCGTGAGCTCGTAGGAAACCGCAACGACCTCTTCTACTACTACTTGGATGAGGAGCGCTATGTGCCGGCCAGCGTCCTCTTGCTGGACAAGAGCCACTTGACTGGAGCGCTATGACCGGCCCCCAGGGGCTGACGCTGGGCTCGCTCGTGTCGCTGGGTATCCTAGAGAGAAACATAGAGAAACCTATGGGACTGGCACAATATGAATCCATTGGGGTAGTTGAAAAGTGATGGGCTGGCATAGATACCAGTCCCATGGAGTGTCTCGTATGACATCATGATCACAGCCATCGCGGCAGCCAGCACCAACAAAAATCTCCTTTGCCACCTCCAGTTCCAAGAGTCAACGTCCAGCACCAAACACTCACCCACCCACATCCGACCCTCCTCCTACAACTCGTGAGCCCCCCACAACCGCAATCTCCCGCGGCTGCACGGCCTCTCTGGCCACCGAGACGGACCTGCCATCCCCACGCCAACCGCCCATCCGCGGCAAACTCCTCGTGCCGAAGCAGCGCCAAGCGCCAACCGCCAACCGCCTCAGGTCTTCGAAGGACCGCGTTCCGCGACGCGCCGGGGCTCGGCAGCCGCGCGCGGAACGCCTTGTGCTATATCCTGGCCGCGGCCGAGGCACACGAGGCGGAGACAGAAACAGAGACAGACAGAGAGAGAGAGAGAGAACACGGAGGGATTTGTGGATGGTTTTCCCCACCAAAGTCCAGCCTGACCTAGCAAAAGCTGGTCCTTGACTTCCTGGAGTCGTGTCTTTTTGGTATGTTACTCCAGTAAAATGAAGTTATTTGTTTGGCACTGGTTGGTTTGTTTGTTTTGGCGTCAGCAGCATCAGCAGCATCAGCAGCCGGAAGAAGCAAACGAAGCAACAATAGGTATTGGGTTTGTCGGATGGTGGAGGTGCACATGATTGATTGCCCTTGACCGAACGAAAGCTTGGAACAATTGGCCGTTGATGACCGGAGCACACGAGATTTGGGGCAATTGACGACCGGGTCAGCTGCCAGAAAAAGAGCCATTGTCGCTCGTGGAAGAGCACCGTGGTCAGCGGCCACCCATCGATTCGGGGATGACAACATCATCTGGAAAAATGGCCCAACAGATTTCAACCCATTTCAACTGTGTTTTGACGTGTCTTCGATGCTGCGCCATGCTGCGCTGAACAAATGTCTCTGAGCCGTCCCTGGCGGTCGAATTCGAAGACGTGTTGTGTTCCGAAAAGGGGAAGGAACCTGTGAACAAAGAGGTCACCATAGGTCACCCAAATGGGTCAAAGCTCCGGCAGGATCTGGTGGTGAAGCGCGCTGGAGGGCGAAGCCTGGTGAGAATGAACGCCAAGCAGCTTCCCAAGGCAGGGGTCCCACTGGTCACCACCTAGGAGCGATGGCCTCCAACCCAATTAAGATCAACTAGAAACCCTTGGAGATGGACCTCAATGATTGATATCGGCTATACCGATGTTCATGACATCGGCGAAGGCTATTTTTGATATGTTTGGGCCTTGCATCGGTACCATTGGGGACATTTTGTCACATGTTTTCCACCTTTTCCATTTGTGTCCGCTCCCCGCTTGAAAACAGTGCTGTGTTTGCACTGCGACGAAGCAAGCATGCAAAATCAAATATAGCAAGAACTCTGAGCCACTCCTCTTTGCTTTTCGACTCTCTTGCAATGCAATAACTCACCATGCTGGGCCAGACTCGCCTTGTCAGGTGGTCGAGGAGGCAAAGAGAACGACCGACACCACGGGCGAAAACGCGAACACTGAGTCGGAACGAACTGCCAGAAGCTGCAAACTGCCAGCACCCCCCACTTTGAGTGTTGAGTGGACGGAACATACACCAGCACGGGGGGTTCAGTTCGGGGGGTCTATAAACCCGAATTGGATGGTGCTGCGTTTGCTTTGGTTCTTTTTCGGCGAGTCACTGGAAGGTCGCTGGGTCGCGTCGATGTTTTTGGGGGCCAGGCGCTTTTGGCCATGTGGAGGCATTCAATCAAGGACTCGAAGCAGGGTTGAAGTACATGGTTCCTTTGCTCTCACAGGATTTGCGATCATCTACCAAGATGTAATGGCAGTTGAATCAATAGCCTATTTCTGACACGTAGCTCAGATGAAGGAGTTTTGCTTCGTTCCACCTGTGACCAGGCCAAGCGCGGCTACGAGGCTGCTGAAGCGGCTGCCGCGGCTGCTTCAGCCACCGAAGCGGCTGCTTCGGCCGCGGAAGCAGCTGCCCCAGCGGCGCCGAAAGTGGCACTCCCCGCGGCTGCGGCTGCAGGAATGTGATCAGGGAATCCCGTGCCAGACGTGAAAGATGGAGTTGGATGGCTTGGTGGATAGAGAGCTATAGTCAGACGTTGGGTGGGTGGCTTCCGAAAGAAACACACCGAAGGCAACCGGGAAGATGGTGGTCCACCTTCGAATTCTTCAGGACCACCCGACCCTTCTTAGACCCCCTGCCAGGTAGCTAAGAATCGAAGGGACCGAAGCCTCCAAGGTCATGGAGATGGGCCAGCGGAATTGCAAGGGCGAGCTGGGTCACGTGGTCTCCAAGCGCTTGGGCCGCTCCATCGCCAAGGAAGATGTGAGGCAGGGACCCTCTGGCTTTTCTTGGCACGGACGGACCATGGAAGACAACACATCTTGACTCGCAACAGCCGCTCGCCATGCGTTTGTTTCGGAGTGACACATGTCCGTCCACAAAAGCCACCCCCTTGCCAATATCCTCTATCAAATGGGGAGGGTCCACCGTGTCCACCCTCCATATTGGAATGGTGATCAAAAGCCGAACATGGCCACAGCTGAAACAGGGAGTCTTTCATCCGAGTCGATGGATCGGCCGTCGCTGTCCCGCGCGCGGTCCGGCCGTGGCGGCCAGTTGGGGGGCGACCCGACCCGAGCTGATTGGAGCATCATTGGGAGAATTGGGAAGCTATAGGCTTGAAAAGGGTGGGAACATGAAGAAAAGGGTGAACAGAAGCACAAAACCAATACAACCAATATATAGCATCAAACAAAAAATCGCTGTGATTTCTTCTCTGTTGCTGGATCCGAAAAAGCGAAACACCGACGTCCCCTCTCGTCGTTCGGAACGCCGGTGGCCCCGTCCCTCCGTGGGTGCAGGTATGAAGCGTCGAGGGTTGGGGTGGCTTGGAACGACGGAGAACGGCGGAGAGGGTCGGCCAATCGGTGTGAACGGCACGGAGAACGGCACGGCGCGGAGAAGATGGGAGAAGCAAGAAGAATGTGATTGAAAGGCCAGGTATGGTAAAAACATATGCCAAAATAAAAGCATATGGTAAAAGCATTTGTTTAAATTGTTTTTATGTTATTTGTGTATTGTTAGTTTGTGTTCCTGTTTTTTTGTGGGGTGCCACCGTGCCCGTGTCCCGGCGCAATGTTGTGGCTTCTTGTGGTCCTGCGGTGCGCTCCTGCGTCCCACCCAGGACCACCCACCGAGCTACAGGGCGACGTGTACGGTGCTGGGAGAGAGCTACGAGAGCCGGTTGACCCACGGCAACAAGAAGGCGGCTGAACAGGTGCAGCCCCGGAACGGCCGTGGGCGTGCGGGGCGTACGGATTTCCAAGGGATGGGTCCCTGGATACTGGGATGTGGGGTGGTCTCTTTGGGGAGGTGGAGGTCTGTATGATGCTGGATGATGCTTGACATCAAAGAAAAGTATGCACATTCAGAGAAAGAACAATGATAATCAAAACTCTTCGTAGTACTATTCGTCGTATAGCACCTGACTGACTGAGTAGATGAGTGGAAGATCACGGTTCCCTCCACCTCCAAGCTCATCAGTGCTGTGCAGGATTCAGCCTGCGTAGCACTGGAAGCCTTGGCGGCTTCAGCAGAGAATCCAGGGAGCGCAGAGACCTGGAGAAAGCGTTCGATGTGTTTTCTCCATTGGAATTCAAGTTCCGGGTTGGGTGTTTCAAGTTCCTTAGCTGGGGTGCACTGTGCTGTATCAACTAAATGCATCAAAGTGCGCGAAAAAATCCATCGACCGTGTACGGTTGGAATCATTGCCTGAACACTTGCGCGAGAGCGGGGCGCATCTCAGGATGGCACGACCGATTTCAAGGGTCAATTGTTGACCCTCTTCCAGTGCCTTGGACCACCTACAATCCGATCTTCGCATCGTCGTCCGATTGTCCGGTGGAGGGTGAAGCAGATGGAGTGCCGCTGGCACGGAATGGAAACGGATGGGTCTGCCGGAAGGATGAAGACAAAATCTGGAGATCAGCTGGTTGAGCAACTACATAGAAACACTAAACATTCCTGTTGATGTCAGGTGCGGAGGTTTTTTGTTGATCAAGGATTCCTCATGATACTTGTTTGTTTGTGTGTGCGCACGCGGTTCCCAACAGGGAAGAAGGCCTTCTCGAGCAGCCAAACATGTCCCGATCGGGAAAATAGACTCGAATACACTATAATAACTAAAAAAGAACCTCAAAAAGAACGTTTATCTCCCAAAATTGTTATCTTCACCCGTGAACTAAGACGGGTACGCGGTCATTTGACGTTCCAAAGTGTGGCGTTCTGAGAACGGGTGTGCCACGGTGTGCCGAAATGTCGGGGTGATTCTTCGGACGGACGACATGTCTGAAACGTTTCAGGTGGGTGCGGGGAGCCCTGCGCGGTGGGGTAAAGCGAGTCCAAACGGAAGTTCTGGGGAATGCTTCTAAATCAAAGAACTTCCGTTTTTACTCATTAAACTCTTGAGGTAGTCTGATCATGTCTGAGAAAGACCACTTGTGAGGGGTACGAACGAGTCATTAGGACTTCCAGGGATTGTAGGATATGTGTAGACTGATTCTTTTTATATAGTGACGGCCAATCTCCCCTGAAACCAGCCAAATCACATTAAGTTGGCTGACAGGTGATTTGTTATGAGTCCAGTTGCCAGTTGCACAACCAATGTGCCTGCTAGGTATATCCAGAGCCTCCTTAGCAGCAATGCTGCCACACAATACACCAAAATAGGAACAAGTACATAAGCTGACAAGGTCCCCTGGCCAAGAACAGTTTTTTTTAAACAGTCATGCTGGAGTTTCATCAAATATTGTGCAAAGATTGCTTTGTGAGTCGTTCCACGTCAGAGAGTGAAGAGGTGTCGACCATCGCTTTCGTTTTATCCTTGCCGAGGACTTTGGGCAAGCGTGACCAAGTTCTCTTTGATGTCTACCGGGTGCCTTTGACCATCGAAAAACACCCCTCCTTTCGCCAGTAGGTCCGCCCAGCAGCCGAGTAAATATGTGGGTGGTTGGGGCCAGTGAGAGGGAGGGGACCATTTGGGGAGGCCGGCCATGAATGAGGCCTTGGATGTTGAACATGGATGAACATGTGCATCTCCCTGCCTCCTGGTTGCGATCCAGTGCAGCTTCGAATTGACTTAAATCAAGGGCCGGTATGACAATTCCACTCAGAGAAAATGGCCCACAAGACCGCGGGGTCACCAGCAACACCTGCAGCTCCCCCCTTCCTACACCGGGCTGAAGCCCAGCCACCGGTGTCGCAGGCTGAACGCCGATTCACGCGGCATAGGTATCAAAAAAAAAATATCAAGAGCATCAAAAAAAAAACAGGATCAAAATAAACATAAAAGCGAATCAAAAAATAAATATTCCTTGATAGGCCTTTTCTGCTGCTCTCCTGGCCTTCTGGTCTGCGGGTCCTCTGGTAATGTGGTCCCTTGGTCCACTGGTCCTTTGGTCCCCTGGTCCCTTGGTCCTTGAGTCCACTGGTCCCCTAGTCCTCCGGTCTCCTGGTCCTCTGGTCCTGTGGTCCGCTGGTCCCCTGGTATCCTAGTCCTTCTGTCTCCGAGCGCTCTGACAACGCCATGTAGGGCCTAACTTCGTGTGAACGCCGTGACTACTGCTACTGCTACCACTACTACTACCACTCCTCCTCCTCCTGCTGCTGCTGCTGCTGACTGCTACTGCTACTGCTACTGCTACTGCTACTGCTACTGCTACTACTACTACCCCAATCATCCTCAGTGGGCTAGAATATTTTTTTTTGATTATCTTTTTCTTTTTTTTTGATCCCCGTTGAATATTTTTTTTTTTAATTCTATTTTTATTTGTATTTTGATCCCTTACCCGATTCACGCGCCGCAGACCGTCCAGGTGAACGAAGACTCCGAAGAGAAGTTCTTCCAGGCGAAGGTCGCTCGCATCGCCCGGATCCGCCGCGCCCGGATCGCCGCCGCAGATCCGGCGGGATCGGGTTTTGGGGGCGGGGCCGGTAGATGGGCGATAGGGCCCGGGTTCTCTTGGGGTTCCGAGCTGAAGAAAGAAAGAGAGAGAGAGAGAGCAGAGCTTGGTGAAACGCAGCAGAGTGCAACCGCTCCAAGTGCAGCCAGTGGACCAGAGTTCGGAGCCTTTTGAGAGTTCTGAGTTCTGAGCGCCATGTTTCGACTATGTTTCGACATGGTGTTTCTTTGTGTCGAAGTGGAGCGTCAGACTGTTGGAGTAAGGGAAACGGAGAAGGAAAGCGTACATGATCTTTATAGAACATTACAAAACCACACTTGGGTTGGCTGTAGCTTCTTGTCATCCAAAACTTGCTTCAAACTGAGCGAAACTGTTTCGCCCTTGGAAGAAAATGGTGTTCGGCTTCTGCCAGCTGAGGTTAAGGTGCCAATTGAAGGTCAAGAACCCTTTGTGGCTGTAGGGTGTCTTAGTTGCAACTGCCAGTCTTATCACCGATCGCGTCCCGTGCGTCTTCCATCGCGTCCCGTACTTGCGTGAAGTGGCGCGTCTCGTCGCAAGCCACTGAAGAGTCCCGAAGAAACCATGGACCATCAGCAGCAAAGGCAAGTGTGAGAGGAACATGCGTTCTTTGAAGAGATGCACTTCAAATGTGTAGGGGAAGAGGTCCATTTGTGGTGGTGTGTTTCCCTTCGTATATACTTACTTCGTAGTAGTTTTTTAGGATCTGGCTCCTTTCGGAGTGAAGTGCAGCCAATCCTGGCCTTTAGTGAAGCCAATCCTGGAAACCCAGTTCCAACCAGAAACAAAATGGTTGTTCCAAAATGGCTTGCTTGAAATCCTTTACATGGGAAATGGATGGAAATGGCTGGGACTGGGGAAACATCCATTTGTTTCTGGTTGGGACTGGTTTCCCAGGATGCCCCCAAATCGGCCACGTTCCACTCCACGCCCAGGCGAGCCATGTCGCGCAGTGACTTCGAGTCCTCCGAAAAGACCCGCCGCGCCGCGCAGCAGGACGCCGCGCGGGCGGCGCTGGAGGCGCTGAGAGCGCCAGAGCGCGGAGAGCACGCGCGGAAACCAGCGACGTGGGCGACGGGATGGCAGCAGACCCAAGAAAAGCGGAGAACCTTTATAAGATACTAGTTAAGAATGTTATACATCCTTTAAACCTTTAAGCTTGGTTTTGGGGAATTGGCTTCCCCAAGAAATCTAAGAACAGTTGGAAAAAATAAATTACGCTACATAAACTGAGGGGGTATGAGGGGGGTGAGGGTATGGCAGGAATCACAACTAGATTTTTCATGTAATACAAGCATGAGTCGACTGAACGGGGCAACCATTCACTTGAGTCAGCTCACATTCTGAGATGGTTCAACTTGCTGTCTTTGTGTCCAGCTCATATCAAAACCATATCAAAACCTATCAAAGCTGCAATGGTTTGGGGATCAGGAACACGTAACGTGATCCGCCAATCATGCTCAAGCATCAGTCGGTCCGGTCCGCGCGAGCCGGTCCGCGCGTGGTCCGTGGGGTTCGGAGGTCGCCCTTGTTCTCAGATGCCGAGATCCAGTCTGCTGAGAGTTCATGGTAATCAATGGTGTCAGGAATTGTGAGGATGTCAAAAGATCAAGAAGCACATGTCAGGGAGTAGTGCTGAAGCCAATTTCAACCACCTCCTTTGCCATTTCTCAGAACATTGCTTGGACACGCGTTCAATCCTCCTAAGTCAAGCTGTCATGCAGACGAAACATGACGAAACAAATGGATTTGGTTGTCCAGTCGAACTAGGCGCTTTCAGTTGGGGAGAATGGCGGTTCATCGAATTCGCCAGGATCACCGAAAGCGCCACTTCGATTTCTTGACATGTCGGCGACATGTCATCATATGATCATCCACTTTGGTGAGGTCCATGTTGGACCGGCCTTGTTGGCTGGGGCGCCCGCTTGAGAAGGCGCTGCCCCATTCCATCCATCATCATCCATCGACTCGCACCGGATCGACTCCGCCCCAACCCGAGAGCACTCGGCCGCCCCCAGGTGCTGCAGGACCGACCCCCCCCCGGTGCGAGCGGCCCGGCGGTCTCGGTGGAGCGGCCGCCCGAGACGCCGAAGCCGGAGGCGCCGGTCGCGCGTTCGGCGTTCGGCGTGAACTCGGCGGCGTGGGACCGTAGGCCGTGGTCGCTTCGAATGGAAAGACATTGGAAGTCAAAAGCCTGTCAACGAGGCCGGCAGGTGGTAGCCCAAGGCCAGTGCTCAAAACAGACAACTAACTATACTGATACTACATCTAATACTTATATGAAGACTATCTCAGAAAATTGCATGGTCGGAAAGTATCTTTGAACACCCCAAGAGCCATGTTGTTCCAGTTGTTTTCTTCCTTCTGTACCTGTGAGCCCTCCAAAAAAAGCTTCTGCTTCAAACAAAAACCATAAAAAACCTGAAGCCGCCGTCAGGTGCAGGAAGTGGTGATTCTGTGGCTACCTCAAGACCCATCGGAGATGGTGAGCTTCCGAAAGGTGCAGGTGCCAGCCACAACACTGGGGGGGGGGCAGAGTGGTGCGGGGTCGCCCGACGTCGTGAACACTGCTAGGCGGAATGGGCTCTCTTGTTCGCTGGGACCGGCCTTGGAAGGTGGGAAACCGGCCGTGTTCTTCTGGGAGTCTTGGCCGGCCGCGTGCACCCCTTCGATACGTTGGGCTTCTCGGTTCTGGCCGGCCAGAAGCTCTTTCCGCTCGCCCCTGGGCGGCGGATCTTTCGGATCTTGCGCCGGGACCTCCGTTGGGCAGGTGGTGAGCGACGACTTTCTGGCGGCGACCGAGGAACTTCTGGGCGAGGCGGTCGCTCACCCCCTGAGCTGGTTGGGGAATCGCCCCAAAGGCGGGATGGGAAAGGGGAAGGGATAGGAGCAAAAGGGGTGGTGAGAGCACTGGTATTCTCTTGATGTGTTTTGTTTCTATTCAGAGGGGGGGGTGAGTTTCTTGACGTGGACGTGTCATGACGTGTCATGACGTGTCATTGTCGAGATGCCACACTGGAAGGGTCTCCATGGAGCTACTGTAGTTTGCCATGTGCTGGAACTTCTCGCACGAGGAGAAGGTAGCACCTCCCCATCTCCAACAGACCAGACAGACGTTCGAGTGCCTGACTGCTATGGACAGAAACCACATTTTAGGCACCACCTAAGTGGCGATTGTGTTTTCAAGACAACGTGAGGGGCACGGATGGCTCACTTCAAGTGCCGTGTAAAAGCATGTTGGCAAGTTTCCCGTGGATTTGTCCGGGGATTTGAACCATTTCCTGCATCAATGTCCGGGAAAGCTACATCCAGCTTGTTTCAGATGAATTTCCCTCAAGCGACTCCAAACTCAAAACATCTCAAGACCATTCAATCACCTTTCACAATCGTTTGTGCCCCTATCTGTGACCATTGACGTTTTTTGTCGGTTAGACAGCCGTACTAAAGGTGCCAGAAAACCTGGTATATAGAGTTTGACTCTAATAAATAGATGGCACATGGCACAGCCCTCACTTCCAAAATATGGGGAGTAAATGCTAAACAGGGAGTAAATGCTCATATATATCATCTATCGCTATGTTTGGGAATAGCGGCATCCGATGTTCAGATGGAAAGAGCTCAGAGCGTAACGAGCTGGACAAGCTCCTGAAGCGACGTATGGACTTCTGAAGCGACGTTGCCCAGTGTGAGAGCTGGGAGAATACAACAAACGATGAGGGTGTGGTACAGGCGCAAACCTGTTTAGATCTTTTTAGAAAGCAGCAAGCTCAGCAAACTGCACAATGGATGGAAACTCCGTCTTTACCAAGCCGTTATACAAAATAGACTCATCAATAATATGGACTAGAGACCTTGCAGATCAGACCCAAGCCGTGATGAAGAAAGTTAATGCTTTCCAGCTTCCAGGACTACCGGTGTATTTCTGGATTGGAATCCACTTTCGTCCACCGCAGAAGATTCGTCCAACGAATGGGTGTTCTTCGGACAGCCCCAGATGGACGGACGTGAAGGGACCAAGCTGTTTTCGGAAAGGGAGACCCTCTGGCCGGACACATCCTGCCAACTGACAATAGTGACCCTGAGACAAGCTACTTAGACCCTGGGAGTCGAAGATAAAGAGAATGGTCTGACTAGGTGACCCGAGTTCAGGCATTTCCCCTTACAAAACAGTCCGTCAAAATATCGTCGAACTGGACTTCTAGGGCACAGTTAGTTGCTCACCTGATTCAGCAAATAAACATATATCACATATATATATATATAATCCAAGGGGAGAGTCAGAGGTCCAAGACAGCGCGTCCTTTCACTCATTGGACGATGTGTGGGCCGGGCAGAAAAGGGCAGACAATGGCAGAAGTATGAAAGAAACAACCCACCGAAGAGGTCTCCACTTTCCAACCCCAGCTCCAGCTTCAACTCTTGCCTAGGCGCCACACCATGAAGCTAAGACCAAGGCGCCCGAAAAACCCATCGACTGGGGCTCCCAAGGGACCGGGCGCACGGGCGGCCTCTGGGAGGCCTGAGCCTCTACGAAGCGGTGGAACCACCGGTGTGCTCGGTGAACGCGAGGGCCACAGCCTTGGCCGGTCTGGAGGCGAGGCATCCCAAACGGAGAGGGAGAACAAGGAGGGAGAACAAGGGAGAACTGCTGGTTTGATGTGGTTGGTGTTTTGAGGTGTTTGGGTGTTTTTGTTGACTTGTTCTTTTGTGTTTTGGTGTGTGTGTGTGTGTGTGTTTGTTTGTTTGCTTTACTGTTTGGTCGGCGGGTGTGCCAAAGCGTCAGGTCAGGTGTTGGGCCAAGTTTGGTTGGAGTTCGGGGTGATCAACCACATGGGGTGTTCATGAATGTTGGAACCCAACTTCGAACTGAGTAAATCTCAGACATGATCAGACCCTGATGAAACAATTCCAACAACAAGATCTACACGATGCGAAGCAACAGAGGCAAGCCTACGCTGCTCTGCACGCTCGCAGAAGGAGTGGCTGTCACACGATGTCACGTGCATTCGGATCGACAAGCCAGGGGTCACAAGACGGGGTGGTGTTTGGTCTCTAAGTGAGTGGATACTGGGCACCCCTAACCTCCGATAATAAGCACCCCTTTGTGACTCCTGGAGATCAAGTCCTATTGATTTTCCCCGAATGGACGGAGAGATCTGTCCTGACCTGTCATCCGTTTGCTTTCGGTCAAGACATGTCGATGTTGGTCATGTCGACACATGAACAGACCCAGGTTGTTCAGAACTTTGCTCTTTCTTGCTCCGGGGCCTTGGATTTTTCTGCCTAGAGAGGTCTATGGGGAGTCCTTCCTGATGGACGCGAGCGCACATTCCCGCGGGGCGGTGCTGGCGGACATGACGCTCGCGCGCTATGAGCCGCCTCGCTGCGATTGGACCGAGAGCTGGGAGTCTCCAGTCTCAACCATGCCAGACTCGTCCCCCACCGAGGTATCTCAAGGCGAATATGTCTGGCCATTTGCATCTGGGCAGAATCGGGGATGAGATCAGCTGGGCCGCAGATCAGCTGGATGCAGCGCACCGGAGGACAGCTGATATCGACAGATCGTGAATTCTGACGATCCCAAGGCCAGATCTGAAGATTGTTCGGGAGAATGGATCACGGAACCACCATATATACGTGGGGTGACTGACATAATTATTGAAGTGAGAGGTGATTGGAACTGATATGATTTGTAATTTGGGATTGTGACTGCAATGTGTGTGTCAGGGTCAGTGGGTTGAATGGCAGACTTGTGTCCCAGAAATCTCAGAAATAACATGAAACAGCTACGTTACATGAAGGTTAAAGATGTGCTTCACGAAGCTCACATGAAGCTCAAATGTAAAAGCATGTAAAAAAACAACCGCTTGGATACAGACATTTGGAAGTTGAAACGTCTTGTTCCGACTACATCCCAAGACGGCAAGACGTTCTCACCGTTCGACCTGCGTACCTCGAGAATTCTGACTCGCCTTGGGTCACCAGTCAGTCAGTCCGAAATCACTGAGGTCCGGCCCTGTGGCGGATTTGAATCAAATGCGGAGCATGTTGCTGGGCCGAAGACGGTTTCAGGATTTTTGTTGCGCGTGTATGTGTGTGTGATTATGTATACATATATATATATATACACTGTGTGTTTGTGTTTATCCAATAATTTGCCACCCATTGTTCTTCGATGTGTCTTTATATTGTCTTTATATTTCTTTCGATGAGTCTACGAGCAGCTTGAGCGCCTCTGGTAGAAAATGCCATGTTCATGTGGAGAGACTCAAACATGGGTGACTTCCATGTTTCACTGGAGATGGTTGACCAAGCAATCAGGTTGCTTTGTGGTCATCCCAAGCTACCAGAGAAGTACTCTGCCGAGCTACTTGGACCCGGCTCGGACGACACGGTCCGATGCAACGGACAGAGGGTCCAAGGCAACATCGACGGGTTCGTCCACTGAAAGGCACAACGGCATGACATGACTCTATTGGAAACATGGTCAACTGAACACAGCCTCATGACTCTGCTGCTTACCGTGATTTTCTCACCCTACTCTCCATAGGAACGGACCTCTCAATTTGTCATCGTCCACTCCATCAATGCAAAAGCCTGGTTTTGCTTTGGGTGATGTTTACTTTTCCGCACGGCAGGAAATCCCCCCCAAAGGCATGGGGAAGCGGGAAGCGGGAACAGTGATTGTTCGTCACCGGCCCCGTGGGAGCACAACAACACCAGTCTCCACACACGTCCAAAAGACACGCCAACTAAATTACTGTAAATTCACCAATGGGACCAATGGTTGTTCACATAAATCGCCCCCAAAAAACGAAATAAATATCAAGACATGATCATCCAATTGTTGTTGGGTCGTTTCGACCATGTTGTTCCGATCGTGCGCGTCCGATCGCGTCGTCCGTTCGTAGTAGTAGTAGTAGTAGTAGTAGTAGTAGTAGTAGTAGTAGTAGT